CTGCCTTTCTTCCTTTGGTTGTTTCTTTTTTAAACAGGGACTCAGTACTTGGTCAAGGCCAGCCTTGAACATGTGATCCTCTTGCCTCTGCCTCCCTCCTGTATGCGAGACTACAGCCGTATGACAACACACCCTACCTACAGATTTCCTTTTGATTTACTATTACACTAGTTTTAGTTTCTATTGACAACTTGACACAACCTAGAATCACTTAAGAAACTCGCCTGAAGAACTGCCTCGATCAGACTGGCCTGTGGGCCTATCTGTGGGACAGGCCAAGTCCACAGTGGGCAGCACCATTTTCCTGACAAATGGTCCTCAGCTCAGCTGTAAAAGCCTGAGTCTGTGAGAGAAAGCAAGTAGCATTTCTCTGAGGTCCCTGCCTCCAGGGTTCCCATTTTGAGTTCCTGTGTTCCATTCCATCAGTGATGAATTGTGAGCAAGACATTTTAAGTCAAATAATCCTTTACTCTTCTAAGCTACTTTTGGTCATGTATTCCTACAGCAAGAGAATAAAAATATGATAAATACCAACACTACACATTAACTTCTGATATATCAGATAAATGGCTTACAGATATAAAGAGAACCTTTTTCTTTATTTATTTATTATTATTGTGTGGCTATTAATTCTCTCCCTCGAAGCCATGTGTTGAAGGTTTATTCCCCAGCAGCTGGCACTATTAGGAGTTGGTGGAACCTGTAGAAACAATGACATGATGGAAGGATGTTGTCTTCGACCAGAACCCTTGGAGAAGGTACCTTAAAAGCACTCTTCCCCTTCTCAGATTTCTTGAAATACACAGCTTTATTCTATTATAGGAAAGCGCAAAAGATGGAGTCCAATGACCATGAACCAAAACCATAAACCAAACTAAATGTTATTCCTTTCTTGTTTATCTCACCTATTCTGTGATATGGAAAACTGACTAACACATCTATAAAGACATAAGAAAAGTCACAGAAGACACTTCTTCCTTTTGACTTAGATCACCAGCGTTCTTTTCATCTACAGACTTAGCTAGCTGTGTATTTGCGTTTTGCTCAGTCCCATGGCCCAGGTGTCCAAAGCAAGATAGTGTTTGTCACACTGAATGTACCCCATACATAGCTGATGAATAAATACTGCTGCCTATGCTTCTTGCACCTAGAAAATGCTCAGGATCTATGTCATAAAAACTGAAGATGGGTGATGAACATGAAACAAATGAGAGATTCGAGACTAGTGGTTCAGTTGACTATTACTACAATCTTAGGAATTCCAGCCTCAGGGAGAAGTTAATTAGCAGCATTTACACATGCCTTTACACAATGACATTTAGCTGAATAGCTTCCTGTCTTCTTCTACAGAGGAATCACAAATGAAAAAGGAAATCAGAGACAATTTATGGTGTGAGATCGCTAGCAGACATTTGGCCATTAGCTCCACCTCCAAGCTATTAAAACATCATCTCCACAGGTAAGCATCCTCACTATGGATAAATGCCAGTATCATCCTACCCAAGTCTTTCCTCTTTCCTCATGAGATTTATTCTCTCTCTCTCTCTCTCTCTCTCTCTCTCTCTCTCTCTCTCTCTCTCTCTCTCTCTCTCTCTCTCTCTCTCTCTTTCTCTCTCTCTCTCTCACACACACATCTATTCCTGTGTTTGTTTTGCCTTTTCTTTTTACTTTTAGTAGGGAGTACCGAGGTCTTTGTGCTCAAGGATAGGGAAAACAGGAATGTTAAACATGCTCCAAATGGTGAGATAGATAGCCTGGTTTCCACCCAAAAGGATGGGAATGGATGTGGTTATAGCCTGGTGACCTCTGTGCTATCTGTATGGTCAGGCTATACCGGGCTCCCCAAGACTTTTGTTTGTTTATCTTAGCCATCCTCTCCACACACTTATCTTGAATACTGTTTCTCAGTCATTCTATAGAAGCCATCTTCATGGGAAATGTCACATGTACTTCATAAATGGGAGCAGAGGAGGCTTATAGCCTGGTGACCTTTGTGCTATCTATATGACCAGGACTACAGCAGATCCTCCCCAGACCCTTATGATGTCACATGTAGTCAATCTGTAGAACCCATCTTTATGAAAGAGGTCACATATACTTTACAAAGATGTTCAATGTAATCATGTCTTAAGCCATGTTGTACCTCCAAATTGTGCTGTACTTACATGTGCCTAAAAAAAAAAAACTTCCTGGTGTCAAACTCTCAAAGTTTGAACCAACAGCAGCTTCTGAATTTTGTTAAGCCAGACTTCCATCTTGTATTACGTGAGGCATTACTCTGCTGGTCTTGTTGTTTGCAGAGACCCCCTACAATGTTTTATCATTTGTCCTTTTCCTACTTTTATTCTAAGATATTCTCTTCTCTCTTTTAATCTTCATCTGCCCCTCTCTGATCTTTCTTCCCAGTTATATTTTCTCTTTTTGTATACCCTCCTTTTGATTCTTTAATTATCTTGATTCCCTGATATTTACTTTCATCTGATATGCTCATCTGGTCTTTTTTTTTTTTTTTTTTTTTTTTTTTTTTTTGATCACCTCCATTTATATCGGTGTACCTATCTATATCTCTTTCTCTCTAGTATTTTCTACTTTATCACTATCTTTTTCTAAACTTTTTTTTTCATCAATTGATGGCTCCCAATTTGTCATTGTCTACTTTTATCTAAGAGTTTACACCACCATGCATTTTTCATGTTACCTTTTTGTATCACTTCTGTCTTCTCTCTTATTGTTTATTCTCTATCCCATAAATCTCTCAATGCATCAGTTTTCATATCTCCCTTGTCTTTTCTAATGCTTTCTTTTCTTCATCTTTGGCTTCCTGCCTGTATTTACATATAACACACACACACACACACACACACACACACACACACAAGCACCACCTCCTGCACCACCACTAAGAACACCACCACCAACAGCAGCAACACCAACCATTCTCCTCTGTCCTCCTTTCTATCTGTTTTCACTATTATTAGCTTCCCATCTATCCTTCTGAGTACTGACACACTCACGTGTACACAGGATTCAAAATATAGACAAAGATGAAGTTTGGGCTTGCACTTTATAACTCTGGTTTTCCAAGTGAATCTTCTAATCTTGTGAAGCTAACAAGCAGCCTGGATTGAGGCCTACAAGCTCAGTAGTGAGCCCTGTGAAAGTAGGAGTTGACTACCTATGCCTTTTAATGTATGGAAAATTAGATTTGAAAGCAAAGGAGGGTTTCCTTGAACACGATGGAATAAGATACCTGAGAGAGACCACTAGGCGACACATGGAAAGACACAACTTGGATACAGAGACATGTAATAGAAATCCACATTTGTCCACATTCAGTCAACAGCTCACTAAGCTTCCTTGGAAACTCATTTCTCCCTCCTTAGAATCCCCCACAGAGGTTTATGTCCCTGCTGTAGACCTGATCAAACTCAGACTAATATTTAAATTATTTATGCAATAGTCTGTTCCTCCAGACTAAATACAAGAGAGCAGGAGAAAGACATTTCCTCGACTGTTTTTCTAGGGCAATATCTAGCTCAAAGTTCAATTTACATAAGTGAGACGATGGAATTTGCAGAGTTCACTTAAGTCTTTTCACATTGTCTTATAAGAATATATATCAAAAAACTCACAGAACACTGGCTCAGATACATTCCCTGCACCCTTATACTCTGAAAACATGAACACAGACTAGCTATACACCCGATACTTCCATAGAAGACCCAATTGTCAAAGATAAGCTCTGCGGAGTAAGGAAGCTGCTATAACAGGTAACCTATAGGAAAGATCACCCAAGCAGTCTTGTTAAGTAATGAAGGACCCTGCTATGGGAGCACTGCTATGAAGGCATGCCATTCTGATTTCATAGGACAACCTGAAAAAAAAAATGCTTTGAAACTGTAGGGACTAGAAACCCGAGAGTTATTTTTCGAGCACTGATAAGTATCATTTCCTGTCCAGTTGAATTTAGTTCTTGACTCCTTCTAGCTCCACTAATAGACATGCCTATTTCATAGCAAATAAGAAAATCCACGACCAAATGAAATATTCTAACTGAAAGTCTGACCCTTCCTCTCCTGCTAAGTAATCATGTATCTCAAAATATATGAGATTTGCACATTTTTTTTTGATCTCCCGTAGATCTCACTTTATGTAGGAAAGTTTTTCCTTCTGATATGAAATTTGGAATCGATCCCTTTGGCTGCCCTACTATATAGCATTATTAAATGAGAATTACAGAATCTCCCAAATGAAAACTCGTTTATTATTTCCCTTCTTTTCTCATATTCCTCTGTTGTTCTTGTGCTTCCATTTTTGGCATATTCTAAATAATTATGGATAATCCTGTGTTCCATTATGACATTCCATGCATGTATGTAACGTATTTTGATCATACATACTACTTTCATCCTTTGAGTGTATATGTGGGTGGGGTAGGGTGCCTACAGATATGGAGACATACACTATCTTTCTCGATTCCTCTCCATCTTCATTTTTTGGGATACTATTTTTTAATAAACCTTGAGCTAGTTTTTACTGGATTGGTTCCCAGTGAGCCCTGGCATCTCTCCGTTTCTGCCTCTCTCCACCAATGCTATGGTTATAGGACAAGTCACCACACCCAGTATTCTGAGTGCTAACTCAATTGGTCCTCATGATTGAACAACAAGCACTTTCCCCCTGAGCCACCTTCCCTGTCCCCTCTTTTACGCCAGCACAATCAGTAGTCCCTTGCTATTGTGCATCACCTATTGTGCATAGTGGGAGAGAACTTCTATCCCGTGATCTATAATGTCTGCCAGGCACAAAGCATTTGGTATGTATTACTCTTGTTCTTCTTTCCTTTCCAAGCTCCACTCTACAACCAATATAACCACTCACCAAATATTTCAAACTTGCCAGCCTTTCAGCTGGAGTTGTACTAGGCCACATGAAGACTTAGGTGTCCGTTATGTAATTTTATGCTGTGAGTCATTCAAATAAAGATACTATTCATACACTTCAAAAATACATATCACTTTATTATTTTTCAGGTGATGTAAAATATCTACAGTAAAATAAAATTTGATAACTCAGACGGCAACAAAATGTCTGACACACACCTCAAATGATTGGAACAACACACCAGCCTGCCACCTGGGATGCACTACCAGCAAATGCTTGACAACCTTACCTCCATACTTCATTACAAAGTTGGAACGTAACCATTTTCCAGCATCCCTCTTATCATTATCCATTTGTTTAAAAGTCTACTGTACTTCTCATCGCAGTTCAACTTTAACAATCACATTCAAGCCAGCTACGGTAATGCACACCCAGGGTGAACGAAAACTATGCATTTCTTCACGGGTTCACTTTCCTCCCCACCACTAAGGGCTGCTGCCTTTCTGATTCAGACTTTGTGTGGCCCAGAGGTGTGAAATGTGTCCACCCAGTGTTCACACCCCTTACAGCATCTCTGATAGAAATCAATGCCTTCCAGGCAACCTTCACGTGCCCCTGCTCCCTGGAAAATCAGCCCTTGTTCCCTAATCCACAGAAGGCCTTGGCTCAACTGTAAAGCTAGGTAAAAGAAAGATGGAGCCTGGGCTAGCCACACGCCCCTCCACGAAACTACTTTGGAATAAAGCTTCCAGATTTTCTATTCTCATTCAGAATGCTAGCAGCTCTGCTGCCTACAAGGTGGTGGAGCGGGGAACAGCAACACAAATACAGTGTCTGTCTGCAACTGTTAGCATTTAGCCATACAAGCTTTTGTTTGGGTTTCACTGATTCACTTTCTGACCAAAAAAAAAAAAAAAAAAAAATTATATTTAAATACTACTTCAATGGTGGTGAAATCTTAAATAATAAACTAAAGCAGTGTCATTTATAGCAAATAAACTGAGACATAAAACTTTCGGGTTAAAACTTTCATTATTTCATTTCTAGACTGCAATAGAAGACTTAAAAAAAAAAAAAAACGTGGTTTGTATAACAAAAATCTGAAAGACAAAGTACCACATCATTTCAAACATTGCACATCACAGGTGACACTGGCCAGCTGGTGATAGAAACATTAGCATAATTACAAGGAAAGGGGTATTATAAGCACAGAAAACAGACTTTAGACATTCTTCTGGATTTTCCTAACTGAAGGGCATGAGTGAGCTCTGATGTCATTGTGTTTAGAAACGGCTTCATCCAGATCCAACTGCATACCGTTGATGTTCACCTCCATGCAGCCACTGTAAAAGGCATTGACTGGTGTGGCACTGAAGGAAAGATCTGCCAAAACAATGTCTGATGGTTAGTCTACTACTTCAGCATCTTAATTTGTTTACAGTTAGAATTACCCAGACTTCACAATTCCAAACAAATTCTAATCCTACAAAAAAAAAAATTACTAATGCGATTCCATTCAGCAAACACGTTACACTGGGCGAGGAGTGAAGCACATCATGAATTCCGATTTCATAAACACAATAGTTTCCATCCAAACTGAAAGGCAATGTGCACACATAAAGAAAAGAACATAAGCTTGCGATACTCCACATTTACTATAAAAGGATATACATATTTCTCTTTAAATTTGAGCAACATATTCAGTGCCATTAGATCATCTCTTTCTACTCTGAAGTGTGGTGTCTGAGAAATCCTTTCTAAATGCCATGACAAACGTGACTTTTTACAATTTCTGGAACAAAAACAGATTTTTATATTTCCCAAGAAATAGTTTCTGGCTGAGCGTAAAAGCAAGTCATAATAAAAGACTGACTTTTATGTGCTAATACTGTCCTACAAAATAGCATTTTGAATTGCTCCTCAGTGAGTCATGTAAGGTCATTAGTGCCGTTGGGCTTTGCTGCACTTTACTCTCATTACCAAGTGTGACCTCAATGCTCATGGGGCATTCTTGGTTTCCTAAGAACTGTAGTCCAAGACACCCACCTCCCTCCTCTCATTTGGCATTTCTCCTTCATGGATTTGAATTCACAGTGTATATTCATTAGCTCTTGATCTTTCTTCTCAAAACACATTGTGACAAAAATAGGTACTTCAAAATTCCTACCTTCAGGTTTGCAACACAATGATAAAATCCCTACCTATGAGCTAACTGCATCTTTTAAGAATCCTCTTTGAGTACGGCAAATATCACTAATTATGCATTATTTTAGCCATAGTGTCATCATTGACTATGACACCAATTCACTCCATGATACACACACACACACACACATATATATATATAATAAACAAAAAATACTCCTTTAAAAAATCTTTAGACTTAATTTTCATTCATCAAAAGAAATTTGGACATGATTAATTTGTATATAAATAATTCATTTCATAGTATGCTCTTAAATATTTCAATTTTAGCCTCCTCTCATTTTTCCTCACTTTTTCTTTAAAATCAACAGGCATTTAGTGTCATTGTAAAATTTGTATCTTTATTTATTTTAAATGAATTCCCTGTTTGCTTCATTTCCTAAAATTGCATTCAACTAATTTGTGAGTGAGTCTCAATTCAGAGTTCATTGGCACATGCAATTCATGCTTCCTAATAAGTAACCAAGCTGATGACTTGAATTTGATGTACCTTTTCTGCATATACATTTTGGAATCTATTTCCTCCCATTCCCCCAAAATATCAGAGAGGTGTTTTTTGGTTTTTGTATACACTGTAAAGATGTGTCTCTGACTAAGGCACCTTTTCATTGGTTTAATAAAGAACTGAAAGATCAATAGCTAGGTGGGAAGAGGTTAGGTGGGATTTCCAGGTAGAGAAAGGAAGAAGAAACCAAGGCATGCCGGTGACAATGAAGAGGTTGGACATAGAGTATAAAGTAGAGGTAGCCAAGCTATATGGCAGAATTTAGAATAAGAAAAGCAGGTTAATCTAAGTTATAAGAGCTAGCAAAGTAAGCCTAAGCTAGTGACCAAGCTTTCATAATTAATAATAAGTCTCTGTCATTATTTGTGGGCTGGCAGTCCAATGAGAAAGAACTATTATGAAGAGGAGTCCTATATGTTGGGCATTGAGACCTTGAGCATTTAAAGCAATAAAATAAAGGTCATTATGAATCCAGACATCGGAATTCTCCATAGGAGAATTATCTGTAAAAAGGACTGGAAAATGCTTCAAACAGCTTTGTCTCTCTTAAGAGGGGGGGGGGGGAGAACTGGGAAGAGAGGAGGAAGGGGAAACTGTAGTCGGGATGTAAAATAAATAACTTTTCAAAAGAAAAGAAAACTCAAAGCACAATAAATATAAATGAACTGGAACCTTATTCTGGATAAAGAAAATGTGAGCATTTTAAAATGTATCTTCTCTAATGTTAAAGTAAATGTTTGGCTTTAAAAGATTTTTTAAAAATGATGATGTCAATATCAGAAGTACAATATTAAGTTACACAAGGACCCGAGTTTCCTCCAATTTTCCCCATCTTGAAAATGCAATCCTAATGTGAAACTATTAATATCAGATACCTAAGAGTTATCCTTCTACCTACCTGTCTTTAATATGAAATTCTTGTTGTATTTCTATATCTTAACTGGATTCATTGTACGCAATTATGCAGTCATGGATGCTACCACTCTAGTCCAGCAGCTTCCTTATTACCAAGTAGAGATAATAGTTTCCACATCACTATTCTGAACATTAAAATGACTGATATATTTGAGGACCCTGTATGGTGTCCAGATTACACACTCTGGTCGACGCAGTGTGATTATTGGCACTATTATTATTGCGTCCACAGGCTACTCCATAGCTTCTGAACTCAAGTGAACTATTCCCACATTTGTTCCCCCAGCCCCTCTATTTGTTTGCCCAGAATTAAATTTTAATTGCAATATTTATACGCCACTCCTTTGTTTTAAACAGTGTAATGACACCCAGGTATTTTACAACAATTCCCTAAGCTAAGTACATTTAGCCATTTTATAGACTCATCCTGTAACAACACTTCGTTAAATATGCCTTAGCCATACTTCCATATTCTCCTGTGCTCATACACTGACCATTCTACCTATATACACTGCAGTACCCACTCCTGCTCCCTAGTTAAATTCACTTAACCCTTTAAATATCAAATCTATATTTGTTTCTTATTCAAGTCAGATCCCTATTTTCATGTTCTAAACTTGATTTATAATTTTTCTTCATAGAATTTATGACAATTTTAATTATTTTGATACCACCTTAATGACTTGTTTAATGCCTCCTCAAATATATTGTAAAGACCTCCATTGCAGAAGCCATTGCTTTCTGCTTATCTAGGTATATGTATATGGGGTATTATTATCATCATCATCATCATTATCCTCTCATATAATACATTCCAACAGTGCTCCTCCCTCCCCTCCTTCCAGCTGCCCCACTCCCCACCCCCCACCCCAGATGCTCTTAATTGATGAATAAATACAGAGTGAACAAATACTGGATAAGTGGTGAATAAGTTGAGTAAGCACTGAGGTTACAATATTATCCTGTGAATGAAATGGCACGTTCTTTCTGGTATAGATCACCAAACACAGCAAAAATCAATTAGTCCTACTTTACCATTAAAAATACACACACCAATAAAATGTTAGTATAAGCCTCCAAATCAAGTGTAAACGACATTGGAAACTTTTGTCATCTTTAAATGCTTTGTTACTAAAATTCTGTGTTTAAGATATTATCAGTGAAGTCAGGCATGATAGTGCATGCCTTTAATCCCAGCACTCGGGAGGCAGGGGTAAGTGGATCTTTTAGTGCAAAGCCCACCTGGTCTACATAGTGAAATCCAGAACAGCCAGACCTATGTAAAGAGATCCCAATACAAACAAACAAATCCCCAAAAGAGATTTTATTTAAAAGATGCTTTTAGAACCAAAGAAAAAGCAAGGAAATACCTGGAATGCCACCAAGGTAAGTGGCCACGCTTCCCTTCATTGCTTTGTCCAAGACTGCAAGATGCTCTTGAAGATCTTTGGAGTAGATGACCTCTTTCTGAAGTGGGCTCCACAGTTCCAGGCCATGTCTGTTAATGTTGCACTTCAGTTGGGATGGCTGGTCAGAACACAGAGTTACCGCCTCTATTCGAGCCACCATTGTATCTTCAACAAATACCACAATATCCTAGAAAGCAGAACAAAGACTTCATATAAGCAAGCACTGGGGGTAAAGCCACTTAAGAACGGCTGAAAAGGTGATAGAACCTCAACGTTTAAATGTAAAATTGTTTACTAATCTTAACAGTGGATTTTAAAACTGGCTTGAGGTTTAATTTAGATGGGAATGTATCCTGGCCTCTGAAGACTCAGTTAAATCAGCCAGAGTATATCACCAAATACAGTGGTGTGCCTCAGTAATACTTAACGTTTACAAGTCTGGAAAATTTCAAAATTACATATGAAAAAGGGAACGGTGCACTTTGTGTGGGGGGGGGGTGGGAAACTCAGAATCCTTCAGTGTCCATAAAAGCTGAAAAGCTAGTTAGTCTGTGCCATCCAAGTAATCACACAGCCCAAGAACAGTGTGGGGAAAGAGGCCTGAGGAAGAGACGGGACATGGTGAACAATAGTTCTAGTAAGTAGCTGAAGAGTCTCAAAAAAGGGTTGTTTTACAGCTGACCTGTAAAGCATGAGCAAGTGGGAGCTCATGGATCCTGGCCAGGCAGCTGGGGCACCAGCATAGGACAGAACCAGACCTCCCGAACTTAGGTGACAGTTAGGGGGCCTGGGCAGGCTATGGGGCCTCTTGCAGTGGAACCAGTATTTATCCCTAGTGCACAAATGGACTTTGGGAGCCCATTTTCTATGGAGAGATACTCTCTCAGCCCAGATACACAGAGGAGGACTTTGGGAGCCCATTCCTCTATGGAGAGATTCTCCCTCAGCATAATTACAAGGGAGAGGGCCAAGGCCCTGCCCCCAAATGATGTGACCTACTTGGGTGATCTCTCATGGAAGGCTTCATGCTCCCTGGGGAGTGGAAAGGGAGTGGGATGGGGGGAGGGGTCAGTGGAGGATGAGTAGGAGAGGGACCTGGGATCGATATGTAAAATAAGATTGTTTCCATTTTAAATTTTAAAAAGGAGAAAAAAAGGGGGATGTTTTATTTTGCTAGAATTTTCAAAGCGTTCAACTTGTTGAGGGTAACCTTTGCTGCCAACTTATATATGGTAAAGAGTAGATATTAAAAAAGTAAGGCAGAGAACATAAGAAGAAAATGGGGAGAGATGCTATGATGCTTTCCAGATAGTAAATGTAATCTGCTATTGCCTCTCAGGTTGGGATGTATATGGTGAGTGAAAATTCTATGCTTCCCAACTCTGAATTACTTGAGGAAGTCTTTAACTTTATAAATATTCACATCCTTAATTCCTTAAAAGAGAAGGCCAAATCAGGCATTTTGGTGCATTCCTGTAATCCCAGCACTCAGGAGGCAGAAGCAAGTCAATTTCTGTGCATTGGTGACCAGCCTGGTCTATGTAGTGAGTCAGGACCCGTACTCTATTTTGTACAGAGACCTGTTCCCATAATACATCACAGATTTTGAACGTGGATTGATTTGTTTGTTTTCTGTGATGTCTAAAAGCAGCCTGAGTGTGAGTCTTACAGCCATGGCAGCCTGCGCATGACTCTACCAAGCCATAGCTCCAGATGCAAAGGTTTTTCAGAGTGTACCAGTATCTTCTCCTTCCATACCTTAGATATCAACCAATAAGGCAGGAAAAAAAGAGACAAACAAAGGAGAGGTTCATGTAGATTGGGAATAAGGTTACCTGAGAATTTTCGGAGCTGGAGCCCACCAAGGACAAGGCAAATGGCACTTTGTATTCAGAAACCAAGGCAAGCATAACTCCAGTGCCAGTGGATGGACGAATATTCAAAGTCACATTTATTTGCCAACCCTCTGCATTGGTTAAATTATCTATTTACAATAACAAAGTGAGACATAAAATAATCATTGTAATCACAGTAGAGAAAATAGTAATTATCAATTATTATAATCTGATTAATTTTTAAAGATACTCTGTGATGCACTAAAGACTTGAATGCCCTTTCTCAATGATATACATCACCAGAGCAAAGCAAAACAGGGTTGTTTTCTTTTTAAAAATGCAAGTGGAGCCTCCACATTTCTGTTCTTCCAAGAGGAAAATGCTAGACTGTGGTCTCAAGGAGCATTCTAACTTCCCCTGCTTTCTCATTTAACAACTCCTCCTCTCATGCAAAATCACCAATGTTCAGATTTCAGACCGTTTAAGCCTTACAGAACACATTTAGAAGGAAGTTCAACAATTTACTGTATTGTTTGTTTGTTTGTTTTGTTTTGTTTTCGAGACAGGGTTTCTCTGTAGCTTTGGAGGCTGTCCTGCAACTAGCTCTGTAGACCAGGCTGGCCTCAAACTCACAGAGATCCGCCTGCCTCTGCTTCCCGAGAGCTGGGCTTAAAGGCATGGGCCACCAACACCTGGCTGATTTATTGTGTTGTTTCTTATATAAAACACTGATATAAAAGCCATCAACTCCCCCTGTCATTATTCAGTCTACAGCAATAGGAAGGAAAAACATGTTCTATACAGAGGGAGAAGTAGATAGTCTGTTAGCAGAGAGATACTGTGAAGTGTACAGTCAATTTTTAAATTAGGTTGGGGAATCTTGCTCTGTGATAGTGTCTTTTAGTACTTCCCATCTTTTAAATTGCTAAGCTAGTTATCTATCAAAGTGGAGTGCAGGCAATAGCAGGTATGTTTTCATAACAGACAATAAATATTTTCAAAAATATAGTCATGCACTCGTAATTATAGTCATGTCAATAATAGAAACACATATGACAATGTTCTCCTAAGATTATGTCTCCCGGTGAAGTTATAGTTGGCTTACTTTACATAAATCTGCTCACCAAATGATGAAATTGCCCAGTGATATGGTGGTACTTACCTTTAATCATCAACTGAACATAACCTAGAGTTAACTGGGAGAAAATTCTTAATGAGGGGTTGTCTACATTGAATTGGCCTGTGGGGATGTCTGTGGGGGGTTATCCTAATTAACTGATGCAGGAAGACCCAGCCCACTACAGGTGGCAACATTCCCTAGGCAGATGATCCTAAACTGTATAAAAGAGGAAAAGTTGTGCCGAGGGTAAACAAATAAATAAATAAGCATGCATGCATTCTTTTCTCTCTAGTCTTGAATATGGATGTGACTAGCTATTTCAAGTTCCTGCCACTGCAACTTCCCCAGTGTGACCTAGCACGGTAAGCTGAAATAAATCCCTTTCTCCACTAAGTTGCTTTTGGAATTGAAACCAGGACAGACACATTTTCAGAACATAGTCACTCATTAAGTTCGTAAATTACTTAATATCAAGTACTTTAAAACATGAGTTTATAATGTAAATGAAGTCTTCTTTTACTGTGGAGTGATATATAACAAATTTTATATGCCACTTGGAATCTTTGAAAGGGTAAAAATGAATGAAGAAATGTAGTTCTTTTGGCTAGATGTTCTTGTTTAGCTGCATATAATGAGACTACACATCTCATTATAACTCTTATGCAGAAAGAATATATGAAATTATTGTGAAATAAATTAAGCAAAGGATATTGAATTCACACTAAAATGAATATTAGCATGTGTGAAAGTTATGTTATAACATTAAATATTAATTATGAAGTAAGTAATTTTCAAAGTTATCCACAAAATAACTTGTGAAAGTAATGTTTTAGCGCCAATGTAACTTACTTTAATTTCCTCTTCTGGAATATTTCCTTTAACAAATCAGGTTCTGGGAGTGATCATTGCTGTTTGCTTTTTCACTGTAAAGCTAAACAAGGACATGAGCTGGAAGCCAGAGCTCACAGACATTCTCAGTTATAATTATGACAGCTGCAAATATGTCATACTCCATCAGATGAGCCAGGGATAAAACCTACCTAAGGAAGAGCTTATCTCCCCCTGAGGGCATCAGCAAGGATAAAATACTATTCAAACTGAACTCAGATTATAGTTTGTCTAAAAAGTATGAAGCTAATACCAAGAAAACTCAAAATCATTATTACTAGTAAAAATAGGGTTCTTATTGGAAATATTCCTCCCAGATCTCATCTCCCTGTAAATAAGCAAGATATTGGAGGACGGACAATTTGACCTCTAGTTGGAGACTGGTGAGCTCACCTTTATTGCCCTTCCTGCCTTGAACAAAAGGTCTGTCACTCCAGTAGCCAGCCAGACTAACCTTATGCCAGCACCAGCTACTTAAATAAAACACTCCAGGGACACCATGAGATAATTACACAACAACTGAAGCTAATTGCTCAGCTCCGGGAGGTAAAGCCTCTGGGCCAAGGCTGTTTTGCTCTTACAGTCCTCACTGAACTCTAGATGACCCTATAATCATTTCCACTTAAACCAGGGCAGGGACACTAACCCTGGTAGCCTAGCAGAGGATCGAGGATCGTCAGAGACCAGCTCTAAAGAGACAACACTGTGATTGGTGGCTATAAGAGCACGCTATTTGGCTGATTGTTGCCACTTCCCCTGGTGTTGAGACAGCAGGAATTATCAAAAGTGGTCTTTTTCTTGCCTACTTCTACCAGTGTGGGCTGAGCTGGGAAAATGAATAAGGAAGCAGTACAAACGACATCAAGGCAGCCAGGTAGCAGCACCAGGGACCACAGAAGAGTTGCCAGCAGGCTTAGGTGGCAAAGCAGCAAGGCGACCAGCTTCTCCAAGCTGCAGCAGAACAGTTAGAGGGTAGCCAGGGCAGGAACCAGCAGTGGCAGAAGCAAAGAGAGGGTGCAGAACTGAGGTAGATGGTTAGAAAGCCTTAAAGAGCCAGAGAAGAGGCCCTGCAGGCCACCACCACTAGAAGAGTTATGAGAGTTGTCAAGCCTTTAGGGCCAAGGGGTCTCAGATACCCCAGAGCCAATGTCAGCTGCTGTAAAGTGTGCTGGACTGTGATTATGGAACTGTGGGTCCTAGTTCTGAGAACCTACAGGAGAGCTGTAACACTAAAGGGCTGCTACCTTGCTCCTGTAGCCTTCCCACTCCGTTTACTACTGTCAAAGGATGGACAGCTGGCAAGGATTAGGACTGGAACTTTCCATTGTCCACCCTTGATGTCTATGTAGGCAGAGCAAAGATCTCAGCCAGTCAGTGGCTTGCAGGGTCAGCTTCCTGTGTACCTGCCTTAGCCTACATTAAAGCTTATTGATGATCTGCCCACCATGGAGCCTGAACACTGGCCAGGCATGTCCAGACATTCATTCTATGCAAGTTTGAATTCCTTAATTTGTACAAAGGAGCTTGAACAGAGACTATAGGCAAGAATCTTTCCTACATCAATGCACCTAACTCTGCTCTAAGGGCTGATACCTGGCTCAGTGATGCTCATAACTGCATCTTCCATCCAGCTCAAGGAGCTACCCTGACAAAAAAAGCAGGACCTGCACTCCTCAGCATCCAGACTCCAGTCTACTGTTGCTGGACCCCAGAACCTGTTTAGGTCATACAAGTCATCACTGCTGATTTATGGGACGGTATTGAACTTAAAGTAAAAACTAGGGAAATTATATTTAAAACTATAATATTTCAGTTTGACCTATCAGATTAGAAAACTACCTTCAGCATGAGCATTCTGCATTTAGTAAGAGTGGTAATTAACACTCTTCAGAAGAGAATGTAATTAGTCCTATATTAATTATATATACCTGCAGGATACTTGATGGAAGAAATCTAATTCTAAAATTCTCTCAAACGTGCTTAACTACACAGAAGTACAGGATGTACACTCAGGAATATTCACAGTCAATTATCCTTAAAAGTGCATTCAGGCTTCACTATGAACTCAGTCTGATAAGACTTTCTTATCAGCCCCCAGTCAAACAGAACTGAATCATATCAGCACATTTTCCAAAGGTATTAAAAAGTAGGATGTGTAATGCATCAGTATTTATCCCTAGTACATGTATGGACTTTGGGAGCCCATTCCACAAAAAGGGATAGTCCCTCAGCCTAGGTAATATATTTTCAGAAGCGATTTATTTAGCTCACAATTGTAGAAGTAGCCATATAAATAGCATGATGACAACTCTTGTGAGTCTGAGGGTAAATAATGGAACCAGTACAAGGGAAATTTCAGGAGGGGAAATTAATCCAGGGAACAAGATCCTTCCCAAGAGGTTTCCTCTTTATAAAGCCCACCCCTCAACTACTAATTCAACAAAAGTCTCAAATCCTCACTAAATTGACCAATATCCATGTCAGTAAGGACTTAGCCAAGGAAAAGTGTGCTTGGTTTCCACCATGTCTCTACTATTGCATGTAAGATGCCCACCCTTAAAACAAAACATTACAGAACACACGGAGACACATGAGAAAACAACCTACATTAAAGAAACAACATGTCCATGCTCACATGAACACATATGCTGCAACTTAATATTAGTATTACGAGTATACTGAAGGCTTGGGAGGAGCTTCACAGCATAACACATAGGCAATAACCTCAGCAGAGACAGAAACTTTTAACACAGGTCAACAGAAATGATAGACATCAGAACCAAGCTTTCTATGCATTGATTAGTGACTTCAAACAGACTGCAAAAGCAGTGAACTTTTAAAAATCAGTCAATTGAATCTACCCCCCAGTGAACCAAACTAATGATAAGCATAATAATAATAACAATAATAATGAGGAGGAGGAGGAGATTTACCAGTCAGTACATTTTTCCTAAAATACCTGAACATTTTATAAGTATTTAACCACACATATACAACAATGCCTGCCATAACAGTTACTCATTCACTCGGTATTGCTAACAGAATTAATCGTTGCACTTTGTCAGTGGATGGATTTAATGGTTAGTGAGAAAAGAGAAATACAACAGGAATCACTTACTGTAATCTATGCTGAACCGAGCAATTCCAGAACCAGGGTAGTAGGAGCCCTTCTCCACCGTGAGGAAGCAATGCTTGTTCTGTTTTCCTTGAATAATTTCCTTTGCACCTAAAGCCCCTTGTTTCATCAAGTTCCAACCTCGTATACATCCATCCAGACGAGGATTAATCTAGTACAGTAAGATATAAATCAAAGAGTACACTTTAAGGTCACATAGAAAGGATTAAACAGCTTCAACTGATTCTCAATATAGGTTGCATTTGGAAAACCATTCTTTGATAGTTTATTAAAATACTTTTTATTAGAACTAATTTTTTCTTTCTGGTCAATAGTAATTTTCAACAGAATGAAACTGTACCATCGCAGGCCTCCAGTGGGGTCCTGATGGTATTTACATCCTGAGGTTCCCCCCTGTTGTTCCCACATCAGCCAGATCCAGTGGTAAATTCTCCCTATGCTTCCAGGGTGGCCCTGGGCTCTAAGCTGCTGCCATTCTTGGTGTGCCTTTACAATGTAGCACTATCTGTCAACGCAGATGCTACTCCTCTTCACTAACAAGAAGCTTACACTCTTTTGGCCTCACAAAAATATCCAGCCAGCTTCAAAGTGCATGGTGGCCATTTTATAAATGGCGATTCTTCTTGATTAATTTACTTTCCAATTAAAGTACTGTAATCCCCCAATTTAAAAAAAAATGGAATATTTGTGTTGGCATGGTGCAACTAATCCAATTTAATATCACATAGACATCTATTAAAAGTAAAACTAACTTTGAGTTGTGATGAGAGACAGGTAGGTAAATATAAAGTAGCAAATATTTAAATTAGATCAACCAGATCTTCTGTCACAGCCATGAATTCAAGTGACTTTTCTTTCTTTTTGTTTTGTTTTGGTTTGCTTTGGTTTTCAAGACAGGGTTTCTCTGTGTAGCCCTGCCCATTCTGGAACTCATCCTGCAGACCAGGCTGGTCTTGAACTCACAAGAGATCTGCCTGTCTCTGTCTCCTGAGTGCTGATCAAGTGACATTTTGTAAAATCTTCAAAGGCGATGATTGCTTTCCTCAACTCTATTCAGTGATTATTTGTCAAGCATTGCATTCATCTGTTGTAACTAACATTTTTATTACGTTCTATCAACCCTCAGTGCTACCCTTAACTTCCAATTTTTTTTCTTAAAATAAAGCTAAGAAAGACTTTGGCTTCGTAGTTACGTGATTTTGGGATTAGAAGTATGTGTTTGTACACTTAATGGCTGAGTGCAGAATATTCCAATATGAATACTGAGCTGACCACTTGAGAAATTAACAAACCCATTGCTTAATGAACAATGCTACAATTTAAATGAACACAAAACCACAAGGGTCATTTTCTTATTTCCTTACTATAATTTCAATGGTCTCAAGTTCTTTTCCTGTGTTCAACACAAATTATCACACTTGGTATGTTTAGCAAAATTCTATGGAGTGTCATGAAAACACATCTTTAAACCTATTACAGACAAAGGAATTCACCTAAGATGAATGGCACAAACTTCAACATTACCGGTTTAATGAGTGCACTTTCCACTATCCGAGGTAATCCTGCAAAGTATATTTTGGTGTCCAGAAACCCATCTGTAGGTTTAAAAAGGCTCCCAAGTTTATTTATATTCATCACAGCTTCTTTAGCTATTTTAATGCTGACTCTGTCATCTAATTCTTCCACAGATACCTATAATTAAAAACACAAAGCAAACATCACTGCACAGCTATTTGAGATAGTTGATTGAAAACTCACGTTGTTCCATTAAATGATTTTCTATAGCAATCGATTTAATAAGAATTTCAATTTGTTCAGACCTACTTGAAGAGCATAACTGTGATTAAAGCCCATTTTTAAGGAGATAGAACTTGATCTCAGAAGTACATCTTAAAGTTTAAAAACACTAACATTTTAACATTCAATTATAATCTATACCTTTAACCCTTCTATGCCTGTCTTAGTTAGGGTTTCTGTTGCTGTAGAGAGAAAACATAACCAGGGCAACTCTTATAAAGGTAAAACATTTAATTGAGGTGGCAGCTTACAGTTTCAGAGGTTTAGTCCATTACCATCATGATCGGGAGCATAGAAGCATACAGGCAGACATGGTGCTGGCTACACCTTGATCAGAAGGCAACATAGCATGCACTGTCTGTTACACTGAGCCAAGCTTGAGCAAAAGAGACCTCAAAGCCTGCCCCTGCAGTGACAGACTTCTCCCAAGAACGCTCCACCTCCTAATTGCACACCACTCCCTTTGGGACCCATTTTTTTCCAAACCACCACAACACCAAAAAGTTTCAAAAAGAAAAAGATGAGCCTTTTTAGCTGAGGAAAAACCTTAAGTACTCTTATTTTGCAACTAATGCATTATACATACAGAATCAATAAAGTAGTAAATTCATAATATAAGTTACAAGAAATTAACAATGGCCACCATTCTGTGCAGCACAAACTGTATTTTTTTTTCAAAATCTGAAATTAGTCCTTAAAAATCAAAACTCAAAATTAAATTTAAAAATTTGAAAGTAATTTTGGTTTTAAGAAACAGTTCAAAGTGACAGTAAGCATGAATGAAAGGTCATCCTACACAACTGGAAGACAGTTGTTGCCACTGCCACACTTGTGAGGCAAAGGCTTACTAATCAATAAGAGAAAGCAAGCAATAGCATGTAAACACAGTAACATGTACAATTATTCCCATTCTCTTTGACCAGTATTGATTTCTTGGGAATGAATTACATGTCACTTGAATCTTTACCTGTCATGCATCTCTGATAAGAGCAACATTTGATTTTTGAAATATTTAAACCACTTCTATATTTCCAAGATGTAATTTTGCATTTCTGTATTTTAAAAATAGTTTGACCATAACACAAGACACATGCTTCTAAGACATGTACCTGCACGTGAGAGCCCTATTAAACAAATATTACAGGCATAAGCTGAACTCACTTGTAACTCTGGTTATATACTGCTTATGTCTGTGGGTTCGTGTTACTAAAGTGGATACCAATTAAAAAACACTAACATAAGGTTTAACAAAGACGTACCATAAAAAATGTCCCGAGGATGTGCTCACTTGTCCACACCCTGCTCTGAACACCCCCTCAAAGCTACAGTCAAGCCTGCTCTGGGTCGCTGCAATGGTCTTGTAACCCCTGCCCTACTCTCTATCGACTGGTTTCCAAAATGCCATCAAGTTTTGATCAGAACTATTCTTTAAAATGTAACTTACATTCTGTCACTTCTCAAAACTATTCAGGGACTTCCCACATAGCATAACATCCAAGTCTTCACTGGGGTCCTCAAAGGCCTTTATCCAGACCTCAATCCTGACTTCATTTTGACTGTTCTTCTCTCCCAGTCCAAGTCATCTACACTCATCTTTGCACCATTCATCAAACACACCAAACACCCTCCCCCATAAGACGTGGAATCTGCTGTTCACATTGCACAGAATCACTATAACCTCGCCCACATTTAACATGACTTGCTCTCTCAAGCCTCTGCTCAGACGCAACTTTGTCAAGCTCAGCTCTTCAATGTCACGTGCTCACTGATCGTGCCCACACTCAGTGTCATGCCTTGTCTTGTTTCCCTTTGCCTTCATAGCATCAATGAATACCTGATACAATTTATGTGCAGTTTGCCACTCAGTGTTAGAATGTAAGTTTTGTGTGGGCAATGACTGCTTCATTCATCACTGTAGCCTCCCTGGTAGAATAAGGATTAACAAACCTAGGGCTAAACAAACATCTGTTGAATGAGTTACACCTCCAGTATTGGAATCATACAAAATAAGTGACAAAATCACTTATAAAGTAGCATTATTTCCTCAAGTTTTAGCCATGATAATTGTTTAATCACTGCATGGCCTGTGTAGGTCTTATGAATTATAAAACAATTTTGGATAATGTGTTTTAAACTGAATTTCTTATTTTTAAAATATATTTTGAAAATTTAAAATAATTTAAAATTAAGGAAGCAAATGCTATCAAATAAAAGTTCCATTTATAGACCAATTTAAATGAACAGTTTTCAATTAAAATGACACACAAGCATGACAACCTGAGTTTGTATCCCTAACACACAGCCATTTACTATGACATACACCAATAATCCCAGTGTTGGGGAGACAGAGACAGACAAATGAATGGAATTTGCTGACCAATTTAGTCTTGCCAAATCAGTGAGGACCAGATGAGAGACCCCCATCTCAGAAAATAAGGTGGAAAGCAAGAGGAAGATACCAGACCTGACTAAGCACATACACACCGGTGTGCTTATACTCACACATGTGTGTATACACACACACACACACACACACACACACACACACACACAGAGTATATCTTACAAGGGGTGATTTAAATTAAACCATGAACATGTCACTAAACACTCGTTTAACAACGATCATAAATACTGACTAAAAAACATGGAACTGAAGCTGCCTCCCGTCATCTATATTCCTACCTCAAAGAGCCCCACATCCTAAGATAGAGACTCCAGAAATAGCTCCAGGATACTGACAGAACCAATGGTTCCCCCACTCTTCTCCCCACTATCAACAAGGGGTCATCTTTTCTCCTAGAAAAGTCTCAGTTTTAACTGAACTGATTAAAAAGACGATCTCAATTATTTTTAGAAGGTAAGCTTATAGTATTATAGGAAGATATTAAAGTACTCTGGTTGCTAAATCTCCTAAGTGTATGCTCTTTGTTCAGAACTGGCTCCTTATCTATATTCTTACATTTAAAACTGAATTAATTTTTTGTGTTGTTATGATATGCATTTCTCTAATTAAAAAAAATACTTGCTGGTTGGCGGTGGTCCACACCTTTGATCCCAGAACTCGGGAGGCAGAGGCAGGCAGATTTCTGGCTACAGAGTGAAACCCTGTCTTGAAAAAAACAAAACATAACAACACTTAAAAAAAATTCATGAAAACTAAGGGTGGTTATCTTTGATCAGGGTTGTCTTCATATTAATTTATGCCTGCTAATGAGTCCTGACCTAGAGGGGAGACCCAATATCCACCCCAAAAACAACTACTAAAATGAGTGAAAATTTGAAAACAGAGCATTAAAATAAGTAACCAGACATTTTCTCAAGTGGCTACCAGGATTAACAGTGTATAGAATGCATTTCATGCTACACTGGGTGACCCAACATGATTTGGTTTGACAATCAGATTCTAACTTTACAAAATGTGCACCAAAGTGAAGAGATAATTCTGAAACCCAAACATACCATATTCCATATACCATTGTTAATAACATTGCCTCCGGTTGTGATTTGGGTTGAAAACTCATTCTTGAACTGAACTTCAATCTTTCCATCACGAAGTGCAATCAGGAGCCAATTTGAATGATCAAGAGATTCTGCATACAATATGATGCCCTCGGAATCATATGTCCGAAAATCAAATTCAGCTGAAAATCTAAACAAAAAGACACTCTTCTTGTGAGGAATTCAGAAAGTTCAATGTGTCCCCCAGCACACAGACCTTGTACTGGCAAACAGTACTATACTGAAAGAGAAAATATTTCTGAGATTTAAGAAGACTTTAAAACTGATTTAAAAGGGCAGTATTAAATTGTTCATGGATCGTCTCTGGTTCCATATGTATTATAAAACTTGGTTATTATAATTTCTTAATTATTCTTTTTTCTCAATGAATGGATACTTTGGTAATTTTTTTTTCAATTATCGTATTTTGAAGGCATCTTTTAGATATTAGAGTTAATACATGTGTACAGATACTAGGTTTCCTGGAACCTTTTATATACTCTAAATGTAGGAGTAAGGTGTGTGTGTGTGTGTGTGTGTGTGTGTGTGAGTGTGAGTGTGTGTGTGTTTACTGAATTCATGAGTGATTACTAAAAGATGCTACAATGGCATACTTGGTTTATCTAGCAAAAGGCATATGCTCCCTGTGATTTGACCTATTCCAGGAAAGGATCACTCACCAGGCCTCACAAGATAGCTTTAGGGTGATTAAAGACATAAGTAAACTTTCATGTAATCACTCAATAGAAGCAGTGTGGCTCTGCCTTACCTCAGGACAGGACTGTGAGCTGCAAGGGCTGACCAGACATTGTGACCATACAGAAGCTGCCCTGAGCAAATCACATAACACACCAAGTTCATGGGAGACATGACTGGAGCAGTGTGTGTGCCTTTCGTCATAAGAACTATGTTACTGTATCATTCAAGATTTCCATAGACAAAAATACTCCAAATTCATTAGGAAGGAAAATCTTATGGGTTCTGGGTATTGACTGAGTGTCTGCTCTTAGAATGTGTTAGTGTGTACCACCATGATGATCCCTAACCAAACAAAAATGTTTTTAAAACAAGCTGGGCGGTGGTGGCACATGCCTTGATCCCATCACACCGGAGGCAGAGGCAGGCAGATCTCTGTGAGTTCAAGACCAGCTTGGTCTACAAGAACTAGTTCCACAGGACAGCTTCCAAAGCCACAGAGAATCCCTGTCTCAAAAAAAAAAAAAAAAAAAACCAAAAAAAAAAAAAACAAAGCAAACAAACAAAAGACAAACAAAAAGTATTTACTTATATATTTTGTATATTTTTAATGTATGCGTTCTGTCTACATGTATATCTGCATGCCAGAAGATGCATGCCAGAAGAGGGCACTAGATTCACAGTGTGGTAGCTGGGAATTGAACTCAGGACATCTGGAAGAGCAGCCAGTGCTCTTAACCACTGAGTGGTCTCTCCAGCCCCCTCCCCCCAAGACCTGTCCCTGACACAGGAGCTGACTCTTTGGAACCTATTCCAATGGCAGGATGCTTTGTTTAGCCAGGACACAAGGGGAAGGAGCTTGGTTCTGTCTCAATTTGATATGCCATGCTTTGTTGATTCCCATGGGAGGTCTTACCCATCTGAATGGAGACTGGGGGGGGGGGGGGGGAAGGAGGTGGGGAAAGGAATGGAAGTAGAGGAGGGAGGGAAACTATGGTTGGCATGTAAAATGAATTTTAAAAATGATGAATAAAAAGAAAAAAAAATCCAGAACATCAAATGCTATTGAAAACAAGCAAATCAAAAAACAAAACAAAAAATAAATAAATAAATAAATAAATAAATAAATAAATAAAACAAAGACAAATAGGAAAAAGAAAAAAACAGTTGTACAACTGTTATGTAAACTAGATAAAAGAATTTGAGTTAAAGAGTCAGGACTTCTGATTGTTGCTAATAATTCAACAAAGAATCACATATAGATATCCCATCATTGCATATTAACAGTCACAAAAGCAGCATTTGTAATGGGGATAGATCTTCCTAGAAGGGAACAAAGAAAGAGGCAGAAAACATTCCTGTATTTTCAATTTCCAAGTAAGTATTTGAAAGATAAAATGTTGAGTGAACTGTGTTGAATGGACAAGACTGTAATAGGAATGCACGGGCCATTTCCCTTGGCAGAAGGACTTATGTCCTTCACAATTGTCTGAGCATTTGGCTGATGTGAAGAACGGACTTTCTTGCCAAAAACTAAATCTGTGTTTGGTCGTGATTTTTCAGGAGTTGATCCTATTACAGAGATAATTTCCTTTTCTTAGTAAAATAATGCTAATCGGTATTTCAAAAAGACGTGATCTTCATATGTTCTTTCTGTAATACATCACACATCCTGACTCATTACACTGGGGATCAATTTAGTCTGTTTTAAAAGTATTGTAGAGTTGAAAAGAGACAGAATTTGTCAACATTTGGCAGGGCAAAGGAAGCAGTGGGTTATGGGAAACAGAGGTGAAGAGGTTATTTTAAAGAAAATCACTAAATCGCTTTATAAACATTCATCAAGCTGTATATTTAATATGGAATGTTTAAAAGATAACACATTTCTGAAAGTGTAAAGTAAATAAGTCAGTGAAGGAACTAAGGAATACCTGAGGATTTGGTTTGCTAATTCTGATCCAAAGTTAGGTACCAAGTTAGAATGAGTTGTCCTAAATAAATAATGTCAAAGTAAATAAAGACACATTGCATCAGTTTTCTACCTCATCTCACTCAGAAGAAAATAATATCTGTTAGAGATGTTTGTGGTGAAAACCAGATATTGAGGGAAACAGAATGTCCAAGCAACGCATTCAATTAAATTAACTGAATCTTAGAATAACTTCAATGCTCTTCCATGACAAGACTTCTATACATTCAGTTCGATTAATTCGTAAATGATCTATGTCTAATTAAATTCCAAACATGCATGATTGTTTAATTAATATATTTTGAAAGTTGGGCTCTAAACTTCATTTCCAATAACTTTCACTCCTCTTGGTTTCACCAAAATTCCGATTTATTGCTTCTAGTTTCAACATGTATGCATTGAGAAAATTGAACAAGTGGGAATTAGGAAGAATCACAAATAAAGACACTTTCCCTAAAGTCAATGTAACTACAAAAGCAAGAGCTGAGGTATTCAAATTGCCAGACTAAGTGACCATTTCTTTTAATACTACTTGAGGGATCTTGTTAATTTTCCTTACTAGTTCTGAATGTAATGATACTCCATCAATACACTAATATTTTCACTAAGTTGTCATAATGTATAAAAAAGGGTTAAATTTTCAAAAGTGGGTTAGATCTAATTTCCCAGCTTCTTGGTAAATATGCCACCACTGGTAAATGGAAAATGATGGGATAAAGTAATTTTGTATTGAGAAAGTCAGCCTTGGTGGATTTGAAAAGGCTCTAGTGTAAAAATTACATGAGAGAAGATCACCTAAATGGTAATAAACCTAAGTTATCAGACTGGTAAGAACCTACATCTGTCTGTCTTCTCTCCTTTCCTCTTCTGTTTTACCTGTAGTAATTCCCAATGACATCCATTCCTCACCTGGTAATCTCTGGCAAACGAAATTTCAAATATAAGACAACTCCTGCAAACTGCTCGGCCAAGTATAATAATTCATAATTTTTGTCAAGGTTCAAGGGAAGGCACACTGGAATTCCCTGTAGAAAAACAAGATGTATGGATTATTGTCTGCAATTTTTCTTCTTTCTTTAGTTTCCCAAATAGGCTCTGAAATAACACACACAGAGAGTGTGTCTGTCTGTGTGTGTGTGTGTGTGTGTGTGTGTGTCCATATAGTTATGGTTATACACAATGAAATCATTATTTAGGAATTTTAAACTATGTGCCTCACAATCACATATAACTTCACCCTTACATGATTTAAAACACAAGAATAAAAAGAACCATTAGCGTGTAGACTTTATTATTTCTAAAAGAAAAAAAGGAGGGAGGTAAGGGGGTCAAATATTGATTTATTTATTCAATAAAGGAAAAATTAAAAGCATTCTAAAAGCTGATTTCCTGTGTTGGTTATTAAACCTGAGTTTAGAAAAGGATGTTTAAGATACACTGATGAACATAACTGGTCTCTGAATTTTGATACATTTAAAGTCACCAAATCTTTTTGTCTCCACCAGGAAGTTTATGAAAACTTATAAGCACAAACGGGCAGTGGGAAAACTTGCCAGAATGTAATACAGGACACCAAAGAATGTTGTCACTAAAATCCCTAAGTAATATTCTTTTAGTTGGATTAGAGGACTCTGGAGATAGATGCCCTCTTCATAATCATCCCCTTGTAAAGCCAAAGACTGGAACTGCCAGGCTTTAATTACTGTTCAGAGAAATGAGACCTGAGTCCTCTCTCTGAGACTGGGAGGAGACAGGGCCACATTGAATTGCAGGGGGGTCATTACTTGATAATTATCTAAACCTAATCCCAGGATCCCAACACTTCATAATGGATAACTACCTAGTTGGACGCTTTCTGATAAAGAACAAAGGCATACCATTGCCTGTGAAGTGACAATCAACCAAGAACAAGACTAAACTGCATACTGGCATAAGGTACTGTCTAGCCATTGTCCACTCTCACCTGTTAAGAATGGTCTTCAGTCTCATCCCTTGTGAGCCATCAGGCTCTACAGTGTTTTCTCTGGCCACTTGTAACTCTCGCCCTTTGAGAGTATGCTTCTGTATTCTACAATAAACTCCCCTCTCTTCAACATTGTATTCTGAATTTCAGCTGAATCCCTTCAAGAAAAGCCAGGGAACAGGGATCCGGGGCTCTCATTTCAGAAAAGAGATGAGAAGTTGTTTGTTTGCTGGGTGTTGGTGGTGCAAGCCTTTAATCCCAGCATGTGGGAGGCAAAGGATGGCAGATTTCTGTGCGTTCAAGGCCAGCCTGGTCTACAAAGTGAGGTCCAGGACTGGATCCAAAGCTACAGAGAAACCCTGTCTCAAAAACCAAACAAACAACAAAAAAAGACCAAAAAAAAAAAAAGTTGTTTGTTTTGTTTTGCTTTCTTCTCTCTGTGTAGCCCTGGCTGTTCTGGAACTCACTTGATAGAGCAGGCTAGCCTCAGAGATCCTCCTGCCTCTGCCTCCCAGGTGCTGGGGTTAAAGGAGCATCCCACCAGCAGACTTGACAAGAAGTAGGTTACCTCACAACTCTTCTGATCCTGGGCAAGCTTGAATCCTTTCTTCCCATCACAGTAACAAGAGTAGCCTCCAGGGTAATTGACACATAGTTGAGCACACATGTTCTCAGAACATTCGTCCACATCTGACATGAAAAGAGAATAACCTTCATAGCTTCCGAATGTTCAATCCAACAGGCACGGGACTAGTTACTCAGAAAACACAACTACTGTGACAAACACTTGACCTAGAGATTTAGGAGTTCTAAGCGTAATTTTATGTATATATTCCAAATAATCTTTATAATTCTTAATAATTAATAATAGTGTAGCAATTATGCCAATTTTCTGATTTTCAACTTTAAGAAGGACAGTATTTAGGGTCTCCACTGTCGTTTCTGATTATAAGAATTTCATTGTAATCGCCTTCCAATTTTTTGTTTTGAAAATAAGAGAAAAGGGAGAAGAGGAGAGATTAGAAGGGGGAAAAGGATAAAGGTGAAAACAAGGATGAAAAGACAGTGAGGACATGAGGAAGGTGACTTTAACTAAGTGAAAGTTAATACAATGGATAAATAGCAAAAACATGCAACTTTCTATACTAACGAAATAATTAAAACTGGCCATATTCTCTTTTTATTCAAAAGAGATTAAGAGATGGTTTATTCTGAAACAAAATAGGTGTAGTACTGTCCCAGGACAGTATTCCAGTTTCACACATGGAAGCACTTTTATGAAATTTTTATAGTAAGAGAAGAAAGAAATTCATGAATCAAGGGACTTAGTAGATAGACAGGAGAAAACATTAAGTAGATAGAGAAAAGTAAAGAAATCCCAGCTGTAGGCATGAAATGTTATCTGTTAAGTCTTAGCCATTTCAAAAAGATTTATGTATGTATGTATGTATGAGTGTTCTATTTGTATGCATGCCTGTGTGACAGAGCAGGGTATCAGGTCCCATTATAGATGATCCTAAGTCACTATATGGTTGCTGGGAATTGAGGGTCCCTAGAAGAGCAGCCAGTGCTTAATCGTTACGACATCTCTCCAGCCCAAACCTTTATTTGTTTCGTTTTGTAGACCTGGGTTTCTCTGTGTAGCCTTGGCTGTCCTGGAACTTGCTCTGTAGACTAGGCTGGCCTCAAACTCAGGGATTTGCTTGCCTCTGCCTTAGTGCAGAGGTTAAAGCTGTCCTCTACAGCCTGCCTTTTGTTTGTTGAATACGAGGGTTTTGGGAAGTTCATGAATTCCAAAGAGCTTTTGTTTACCACAGAACATTTAGTCTGACAGCCTGATACAGAGGTGTGAAAGGAGATGCTATTTAGAGGACTAAGATAGCTCAAGATCAATTGTAATCAGGCTCTGAGCCTGCAACAATTAAACCCATTCATAATGGTTGAGATGTTAACCAATCCATCAGCCTTTGTAGTTAAGAGCTTCTTTGTAGTAATTCAGATCCACACACGTATCTACCAGACACATCTAGACTGGACTATCTACCCATTCCTTTGCTATCTGCTCCTGCTCATGACCTCTGCCATTGTCCTCCAACTTTCCGATTCAGTGCCCTTCTATGTAACTGATCAATGCATGGCTTCATATACTTATTTTCTCTTCCGGGGTGGTTACGCTTCCTTAGCCAACCTTTCCCATATTCACATCTCTTCATCACTGAGACATTTGGAACAAGACACCTACCTCAACCTCTCTCAAAGAAGTACTTTATCTCTCAACACATTAATGTCTTTTGGTTTACATTTTAGAGTAACTGTATTTTACTCTCTCACAAATTCATATGAAATATCATAACACAAATTGGTATTTGTGTTTTTTTTTTTTTTTTTTTTTTTTTTTTTGGTTTTCCAAGACAGGGTTTCTCTGGGGGTTTTGGAACTCTCTTTGAAGACAAGGCTGGCCTTAAAACTCACAGAGATCCGCCTGCCTCTGCCTCCTGAGTGCTGGGATTAAAGGCCTGTTCCATCACCGGCTGTCTGTCTGTGTTGATTTTACTGCAGTTGAAATGTCTAAGTCTATTTAACTCATTATTCTATTTGTATTGTAGAGTACATCCATAACTAATGGTGAATTGTAGGAGAAACTGCTGGCCAGCCCTACACAAACCACAGTTGCCCTGCTCAAGTGCCCAGCCCAACCCGCATGAGCATGCATGGCTGGCACTTCCTGCCTGAGCCAAGCCTGCCTCTATGCCCAGAGACTGCTAACAGAGAGACAACTGACCCAGAGACACCAATGAGGAATGCAGTAGAATCAGGCACTTGAGCCAATAGAACATTGGGAGGGGTATAAAGGCAGGTCTAACTTCCTTAATAAACCAGTTTGCACCATGCTCTGCTATCACTGACTCCCAGATGCCTGAGTCATTGGTGCTACATGTTCTCACCCCCTCCTCCAAGGGGTATCTGACCAGGGTCACCTGCAACAGCTGAATATTTGTCATGATTATGATGGGTGATATTAAGAAATCATGGCCACAAATTTAGTGACATATATTAATGTTTTTTTTCAAACCTTATTGTACCATCACTTTTCATAATTTGAAGTCTTTTGCCTGATCTCTCCCCAACTCTCCACTTTGTAATAACATGCCTAGGCTAAAGATCGTTCCAGGGCTACAGAAAGTCCTTGACATTTCATTGGATATACCCTATTATAAATTTATGAAGTTCTTATTAATACTATCATGTAATATATGCTCTCTTAAATACTTTAAAATATATTTCCAGAGTTAATGATACTTGAAATGCATTAAAATTGTATGATATAAGATTAAAATAAGATATAAATGTACTCATCTATAAAACATTTAAAAATCTGTCCTTTAGCAAAGGAAACTACAATCTAGGTGATGAAAATGGCTAATAATAATGACGAGAGCAATAACAGAGGCTGGCTCTGCAGTTTAGAACTGAGGACTTTCATTCTCATCCTTGGCCAGAGGCTGGAAATGTCCATGGTTTTGCCATTGCTGGAGGCCACAAATGCCAATAGTGTTTGGGTGTTTTGTTTCCATCTGATTTTTTTTTTTTTTTTTTTTTTTTTTTTTTTTGTTATCTTGCCTTTCCTTTTTACATAGCTGCCTAGAAGATGTGACCAAAACAGTATTCCAGACACCTGAAATAGACATTAGTACAAGCATGGGACTGGATGGACAGCTCCCCTCCCATTCCTCAACAATTTCTGCTGTAAGTCCTACACTAAGCCCGCAAACAAGCAGCTCAGTGGTACCCCATTTCTTGGACAACTGCTGCCCCACAGAAGCTCTGCTGGTTTGCATTCTCTTAAACACCTGTCTATGAACCTTTCTAAAAATGTAACTTCTCTGTGGTCTGCAAGAGTCATCCTTAACATGGAAGTTCTGTGGCTGTAATAACACCCTAACTTCTGTGTAAGACCAATTGAACTTAGGAAGCTTCTGTCATAATCAAGGACCCTGCTGATCTCTGTGTCAGTGTATCTGAGAATTGCTACTTTTCCTAATAATTGAAGTGGGGGATAATAAAAAGTAGAAACGAATGAGTGTAGGGATAGGGTCAAGTAAAACATGAACATTTCAATGGCATGCTATAAATAATGAGAAAAAAACTATTATAAAATGGTTATCTGCTTACACAAATTCAAAGACAGAAAGGTTTATTATAGTAACAGGGATTGAGAGAGAACTTGCTGTTGTCTGCTTAACAGTGTCTATTTGGGGTGATGAAAAAGTTTGGAAACAGACAGCTGTGATGCGGAGGCTGCAGAGCTGTGTAAACTGAGCTTCTGCTTAAAAAGCTTTATAAGCATAAAGTATATTCTATTATCATTGGCATGATTAGTTTTAGACATGTTAATTCAATTTGAAATTTTAAAACATTTAAAGGAATGTGAGATAATTCATACATAATGACTTGAAACCTCACACAAAAGCAAACATAGCCCAATGAAGTTAGCGGAGGCATCCATGCTGACCCCATGGCAACCTTACCAAGGAAGAGCGGCAGCATCCACAAGGGGTCTTGGCATCAGAGATCAGCAACCCTCAGCTTTCTGGAGCTCTATTATGATGTCCACCATAGTAACAGATAATCTCACTTTACATTTTCTTTTTACTATTTATTATATTTTGTATGTGTGTGTGCCTGAGTGCATATATGTGCCATGTATGTGCAGATTTGGAGAAGGCCAGAAGAGGGTGTCAGACCCTCTAGAACTGGACTAACAGGTGGTTGTGAGTCACATGACATGACCTCTGGGATGAGGTTGAAGATTAAATTATCACAACTATTATTCTCTCTTTCTAGTTAGATATATTATGTACTAGACTTCAGCTTTCCAGCTTAGGACAACTCTATTGTAAACCATGTTTCGACTTCACTCTAGGACTAGATAGTTAGGTCTTAAGTTTATATGTTCTCGATTTTCCTTCTCTTAGAGCACACTTGTTATTCACTGTTTTGTATACAGTTTGTGTATCTAGCCCAAATCTTTTCTTTAGACTAAAAGGGGAATTGTAGTGAGATATTCACCTTGTCTGCACCTGTGGCATAGACCGTGTCCGTTGGGGGTGGAGACAGGGCCAGACGTGGCCTGGGGGAACTAAGGCTGAGGAGGGAGCTCAGAGGGCTTTCTCTCGCTTACAGCACTGGGACAGGAGCACATCGGGACCAGGAACCTGCTGGTGCTCATCTGTCTATATTGTGAGTTATTTCTCCCTGAATAAACATGTATTCTGCCTATTTGTTTCTCCTGATCCTTTTTAAACATCAATATCTGATCCTCTGTAAGTGCTGCAAAATGTTCCTAACTGCTAAGCCATCTCTCCAGTCCCAATATCCTATTTCACAGAAAGTGATTGAAAAAAACGTTTAGAATAAAACCTAAGGTTGATAAGAAGGCTCACGGTTTCAGTCCCACAATTAAAGCTTGTGTCATTTTTTTTGTCTATATAAATTTTCCTTTCAAATTGAAATTTTCTTTTAATGTTATTGAGAGGCTATTAAGATGTGTTCATTTTGTTTTTATAACAAAGGGAGTCTCTAGTTTTTATGAAACTTAATGGGTTAAATGGAATGAATAATATTAAACCCAAAGACCATGGGCCTTCCTTGATACTTCTATTCTGTAAGGAAGCCAACTATCACCAAATCAAGCAAATTACATCACAGATTAGCAAAAGAAATGCTTTTCCTAATATCACCTGGGGATTCAAATCCACCCTCTCTACCATGTAGTGATAGCATCATTAATACCTTTACAAGACATTGATGAGGGGTCATATCTGTAGCCATCAGGACATTCACACTCAAAGTCTCCTGGAGTGTTCTTGCACACAGCTGTGCCACAAACACTGGGCTTCAGAGAGCACTCATCCACATCTACAAAAAAAAAAATTTCAATATGTTAAGATTTTTCCCACTACTAAGTAAACGCTTGTTTCCTGAATCTAGTTCGTGTGTGTGTGTGAGAGAGAGTGTAAGTGTGTGTATCACATTAGAGTCACCTTGAAACAGAAAAACAATAAGTCTATCACCAGTTTTTAGTTCCCTAAATATAATTTTTATATAAATTCACAGGAAATTTCACTAATGTCCTTTATAAGAATGTAAGAAAAAGAAAGGGATTTAGTCATTTTCCTATCTACCTGGGAGAAGTATAAAAACGCATGGAGATGGCTCAACCATATTCTTACTATTCCTTAAATGCACTTCTAAGTTTATATTTCTGAAAGTGGCGTAAATGTAGATTCACTTAACTCCTCGCTACAATTATTTAACAAATGAAAACTCAGTTGTTTCATATTTTTATTTGGAAGTAGACAAATATCTAACTTTCCCCCATCTTTCCTACAGAAATCAACACATAAGGTGAGGTCGATGAAAGTCTATAAGTATTTCTAAAACAGCTCTTACTCCAGTATCTTTTAGTATTAGGTTAATATTCTCAAATTTCAGATGCATTTGCTGTATTGCATGGTGTAGTAGGAAACAAAAGATGGATTGCAAGGAGGTGGTAGGTGGCACTTTAAAGCAAACAGGTGGCATAAGGTCCTGCATAGATGCAATTATTGCTCAGCTTTGTTCATAGAGGTCAATGGAGAAAGACAAAGTTGAGTGGGAAGTGCATTTCCAATGAAGAGATGAAAATTAAGACATTGTTCTGTTTCTAATAACGTTCCCAAAGAATGGAATTTGTCCCTTTGGTAAGGGAATGTCAAGGTCAGTGTTTGAAGTGTGAAATTATACAAGGATTATGTAAATATTACTAATGAGGGGACACATAAGTAATACCTAAAATCTCTAATATTCCTTACAACGTAATTCAAATTCTCAGATGGTTGAAACAGTTAAGTGTCAAAAAGCTTTTATAACAATAAAAACAAAAACCCATGCTTTTAGAAGAAAAAATTGCATTACTTAAATTACTTGGCTTTACACTTATTTGTAGGGAAATATATAGAACAAATGAATTTAGGTAGAGCACCTTGACATGGTCACTCTGTAGCTACCTCTAACACCGACAAGGCTTTAGATTTTCATATTCAGTGTATTTCCCCACCATGGCCAACATCCTACTGTAACAGTTTTCTGTAAGCTTTGTGCTTGCTGTGTACCACAGATAAATTACTGTGCCAAGAAAGAATGAAAGACACATGTTCTGGTCTTCTGAAACACTCTGTTGGTTGTTTGGTAGCAGTGAGAAAATCACTCAGGGCTTCCATGTGCTAAGCAAGCACTCTACCACTGAACAATATTCCCAGCATGCATGTATGAACTCAATGTGGATATGAAAAAAAATTCACAAAATTGGAAAAAGTATAGATTGCTCAAGTACTTAAATGTTAAAGTAGGAATGGGTACTATCTCTTTATATAATGGATGTGCTACCCTGAGTTATAATGGCTTCCATTATAACTGCTGTTCTAATAATGCCCCTACTCCAGTAACCAAAGTCATACATTCAAATAGACAGATAAGAAAGATATAGCCGTAAGTTGGATAACAACTTAGAAGAGATTGTTAGTAAATGCATTTCTTTTCAGCTTATTCCACAGGACTTTAAATTACACTGTATTGAACTACACGGTACTGAATACTTCTAAAAAAAAAAACAGAAAATTGCTTGAATGTGAATTCAGACTGAGGATTTTCTAAGACAGAATAGAGGCTTACACAAGGAAACTTCACCACTTAATTTTTAGACTCTTAGGAGGAAGAACAAAACCCTTTTCAAGGGTTTCCGCTTTATAGCAAGATTTCACTGCAAGCTCAGAATTCTGTTTTTAGCTGTCCATTCACCTACCAGGAATATGTATAGGTTTCTTACAGCGATTCAGTGTGTGCAAGGAGAAAAAAGGAAAATGTTGGGAGACAAAGAGTCATAGAGAAAGCCAAAGGAAATACAATAACAATATACAAAAAACTAACTATAATAATAATGATGATGATGATAACCTGACAGATTATTTAAATCCTAAGGAAAAAATACTTAAGAGCTGTAGTGCAATCATCAATGGGTAAAGAGAATGAAAAATGGAGATTTTTTTCATCTTTCTCAAGACATAGCGGCACATTTACAATAAGTACTTTCTGACCACAGTGTCTTCCAGAAGTTTCCCAAGGAAATTCTTCTACCTGAACTTTGACCTCACACAACAAACACATTTTGATCCCATGCTGTGCTCTTACCTTTGCAGTCCCTTTTATTTGAAAGCATAGCAAAGCCACTTCTGCAGGAGCAGTGGTAACTTCCAGGAGTGTTGTCACAAATCTGGCTGCAGCCCCCATTTATATTTAAGGGATCTTTGCATTCGTTTACATCTGCAATGGGGAAATAAGGTGTTTTTAAAGAAATCCCACCTTCAGATAAGTTGTCAAGTGGCCAACCCAGCAAAGGTAGTGGGTAAGGACTTTTCATACATACCAAATTGGCACTTGTCTCCTTGCCATCCTGGTTTGCAGATGCAAGTAAAAGCAGCTTGGCCGTCTTTGCAGCTCAGATAACCATCTTCATTGCATGGCAATGGATCACATTGGTCTGGGATGGCTAAAGGAAACAGACTTCCATTTAACTTTTCCCTTAGGCAAACCGAGGATTTGCAGAAATGGAAAATGCAACTGCATGCCTATACCCAACAAGGCTAAGATGCATTTTTTTTCAAACAACAGGCTGGGGATGTAACTCACTTGGTAGAGTGATTGATTGTCTGCCGTTCGCAAAGGCCTGGGTTTGATCCCCAACACTGTATACACCTGATGGGGTAGCTCATGCCTATAATAATAGCACTCAGGAAGTGGAAAGGAGATCACAAGTTCAAGGTCATCTTTGCCTATATAGCCAGTTTAAGGCCAGAGAAGAAAAAGTGAGACAGGCCTCACTATGTAATTCTAGCTGTTTTGGAATTCACTTGCAGGCCAGGCTGGTCTTGAACTCAGAAAAGTCTGCCTCCCAAGTGCTGGGATTAATTAATGGCATGTACCATGAAGACTGGCAAATACTTCACTTGACTTGAGCCTTCCAACAGTTCTATGAGGAGCACAGACCAAGCAATCTATTCTTTGTGTGACAAAGATAATCTGGCAATTCCAACATGGATAAGGGAGAGTTTTTAAAAGGGACCTTCTTGCCCTAAATAAGTAGAATTCTTATTAAAATATATCAAACATTGGAAAATGTGAAGCCTAAGTGAGAAGAAATGAGCGCAATAATCACACTCTGATCATTGTAGGTCCTGTATAGACCAGAAAATAAAGGCTGTTTGATACACATTTTTTTCATATTTATATTATTGATGCCCAAATGTTAAAAGAATGAGCATGGCTCTCCTCTGATAATTAGTAAACTCTAACATTTGGTCATATTGTGATTATACAACTCTAACCAAAATGAAGATGCTACATTCACCATTTCTGACAGCAGCATACACCATTTCTAACTTGAATCCAACTACCTCTAAGCACCCCTCAGCTGAAATGCTTGGGGGGAAAATTCATTTCATGTAAAACCAATGCATTTACGACTAAAAAATGTGCTTGGATATGCAGTTCAAAAAATACATCTCTGCTTGGCATAGCCTCCTTCAAGGTCTCCCTTACTGAATTTTAAACATTAGTTAATATCGACACAGTGCATTTTACTTCCCAAGACTTACATTTCGTTTTACTTTGTTTTTACACGGTAGCTTACCATTGACACAGCTCCTGAGGTCAGGGTAAACATTAACAGACTGCCGCGCAGCACTGAATGCGCCTGCGCGGAAGGTGCCCAGACAAACTGTGAGAAAGAAAAGATGCAATCATGTCACAGCATTTTCGTGTTGGTACATATTTTTAGGGCTACTCATCAAAACACTGTTGCAATTGAATAATTTAGTGCTGGAAGGTTTCTCCAACAACATCTGAAACGTATTTCTTGTTAATATTGCTATGATCTGTTACAACTAGGAGAACCAAATTCATTCTTTCACTAGACATCTCAAAATTTATCTCATTTGTGTCATGGTTTGCTTTTGTTAAATTTTGTGATACAGGACACATCTACTATGCCAGGTCTGCTTTGAGGAGAAACTGAGAAGAAAATCTACTTATCAATATTTTCACCCCTTACTTTCATTCAAGAGATTCTATGTGACATGTTCGCATACTCTGAGATTCAATCTTTTCTTGGCATAGTTTATCTTCAAAAGCCCATTTCAGCATCTCTAAGCCAGTCTTGCTACTACACAGTTAGCTGTCCTAAGTTTTCTCATAAAAAATACGTTTTTGTTAATTTTTGAGAATTTCATATTTTGAGTATATTCACCTCAACTCCTCCAAGATCCACCCATATCTCTGTCTGAACAACATCATGTCCTCTTGTGTTATTTTTTTGTAAATGAAAATATAATTATATCAATTACCCCTTTCTCTCTCCCCCCCCTTGAATCTTCCTATGTATCCCACCCCTTCACATCAGTTTCCACTCAAAATTATGCTGCTCCATCTGTATAATTTTACTTTTATGTATAGATTTCAGGACTGACCACTTAGAATTGGATAACTAATTAATCATTTCAACCCTGGAGAGGACTATTTCTCCTACTCTGAGCACTCCTGAGTTTCCTTTAGTTCTCTGTCTATAGGTTCCCCCATGAGATTGACCTCTTCCATCTTAACGTGTCTACTGATACTGTATTTTTTCAGATCTTATTCAGGCAACCATATTGCTAGGGTATCATGTATGAAATTTCTCTAACTTCTGCCCATATATTCCTTGTACTAGGGTTAGACTCGCCCTCTCCCAGATGCCACCAACTGCCCACAGCTCCCCAGCTAGGCATGGAGCCTCAAAACCCCTGCCATTCCATGGTAGAATGTTGACTGGCTTGGTCTTGTGCAGGCATCTGCAGCTCCTGTGAGTGTGAGTGCATTGGTCCTGTCAAGTGCAGGTGGCACTGCTTTGTTCCAGTACTCTCCTATGATGTGGCATGCCCTTCTACATGCTGCTAATATGTGTTGCCTTTATTGGTTGATGAATAAAGCTGTTTGGGCCTATGGCTGGGCAGAATATATCTAGGTGGGAAATCCAATCAGAGATACAGGGGGAAGAAGGCAGAGTTGAGAGAGATGGAAGCAGCCTCGGGAGAATCAAGAAGCTTCAAGCCTTGTTGGTAAAATAGAAACTAATAGAAATAGGTTAATTTAAATGTAAGAGCTAGCCAGTAATAAGACCACGTCATGAGCCAAACAATTATATTTAATATTAAGCAGCTGCGGGACTGGGCAGGACACAGAAATGTCTCCCTACCTCTGATTCTAACAATCCTCCCACGCCCACTTTGGGCAGGGATCTTGAACCTCAGAGAAGGGATGTGATTAAAAAAAAAAAAAAAAAATTCTCATTTGTAGCTGGGTACTCCATTGATACTTATTATCTGCACCTTGACCTGTTGTGTTTCTGCATTAACCACCATCCACTGCATAAACAGCTCTGGTTGAGTCTGAGAGCTACAGGAATCTAAGACATATGAATTTAGAGGGCAGTTTGATACTATGTCCATTTAGCAGAGTGATAGTAAGGACTATGAGTTCCCCACCCATGGGGTCCTCGCCATATGTGCAGTACCAGGCATATGTTTCCCCCTGTAAGGCAAGCACTCTGAGACTTTGAGAAAGACCTTTAAGAAGACACACGAGAGCATGATTTAACAGAACCTTCAACTTGGAAAAGTCCAGCATCAAGCGTTCATTTATGAGGTCCCTGAGGTATCGTGGAGACTGCTGGCTTTGCATGCTTTTTCTATTTACACTTCCAGTAGTTTCTAACATCACCCCACAGTTTGTGGCCTGCTTCGGTTACTTTCTACCCCTCAGACAGCTCTTCTTCTGAAAGAAGCTTTTGATTCTTAGCGTGTGCTGATTCTGTTTTGCCTGAAAGAAGTTTTTGATTTTGCCTGCCAGTGCTTAGGGCTGCTCAGAGTATTAAACGTTCGGCCTCTATTTCCTATTTGAAAACTAACCCTGTTCCAAAATTCATCCAGATTTCTGTAAGTAATGTCCATTGCAATTATTCAGTAGCAATTCCAACTGCTTAGCCTTTCCTTCAAGAGGTTTTGACAATTGCTGAATGGATGCAATCTTTGACATCACCTGTAATGCCCAGTACTAGCTCTCTGCCTCACTCACAGTAACAGAAGGGAATCTTCGGCCCTGATGGGGTATTTCTGACATGATGTACATCATTCTGTGGAGGACCCTCCCTTATTTCACATGATGGAACTTCTTTTAGGCCACTGGGATTTCTTAGTAGCAGTTGCATTTTGACTGCAGGTTGTTCACTCCAAAGCGATACGGAACCCAGAATACACTGTGTTCATTTTCCTCCTGCTGTGCTGTCTTGATAGAATAAATTTACAGGTTGGTTCCTAAGTTTGTCATCCTTCAACTTCTATATTTTGTGAGCTTTTCTTTTTCCTGAAGATGCCATGTTTTTTTGTACTATGCAGAATGCCTTTCAATAAAGGGAAAAACATGTGTATGCTTTGAACAAGTGTGTATAGATGTAACTGTGTCAAGAACACTTTGGTGCCTGACGTAGTCATTGTTGTCACTGGGTAGGTCTTCAGACCATCTCGATACTAAAACTTTGGATGAAAAGGAAGTCTTCCTGGAGATGTTACAAGGTGTGCTTAGATAATGTTTTTTATTCATTTTTTATTTTTAAGACTTATTTTAAGTGATGTGTATGTGTCTGTGTGGGGGGATGTATAGGTGTCTGTGTGGGGTCATAGGTATCAGATTCCCCTACAACCTGAACTGAACTCAAGTTCTCCACAAGAACAATATATGCTCTGAACCACTGAGCCATCTCTCCAGTCCCCTCTATTCTCACATGTAGTATCCTGGTTTGCCATTGAGCTCATAATCCTCCTCCTCAGCCTTGTGAATGCTAGGGATGCATCACCACACAGTCCTCAACCTAAACTTTCCATTTCTGATAAGATACCAAGAAATCCCATTCATCTGCTGCTCTAGTTTGTGGATCCAAAACATTTACTTCGCTATCAACCTTAAAAGCAAAGACCTGGCTGGGGTTTCTTCCCATTCTTTGTCAGATCTTTCTGGTACTTTTCTCCCTGACTCATCTTCAACAGAAGCTTCATAGTTAGCTTTCTGTTGGAGTGCATTTAGCTCTCTAAAACGGTAAAATCTAAATGTCAGCTCACAGTAAACAACAGTCATGGAATATAAGTTCATGGAAGCTTCTTTCTATGGCTAAGAACTTGAATCAAAACAAAAGACCTGGGATTTCAGGGAAATCTACTGTCACATAAATCCGTGTTTTTAATTTGTAGCAAAGAAACTTTTAAGCTTGCAGACCAGGGCCCGATTGAATCAGCATGTATAATTCAGTCAATAGGAGTCAGTGTTTCTGGTTGCTGCAAGCAACTTCAAGGTATTCTAGTGTTGCATAGAGACTAACACAATATTTGCATAATTCCTTAATACCACAAAACAGTTGACTGCATTTCTTTCTAAATACAAGTCTATGAAAGAAATGACTTCAATGGCTAACAAACTAAGAAATAACACATGATGTAATAGAGATAAAATACGATTTTCACTTTATTAGGAGCTGTTTAGTTCTCCAAACGTATTTCCTGATTGCCATTAAAAAAAAAATGACATATATTACTTCTTTGCTCAAATACTCAACAATTAGTTACCTTTAGCAGAATAACAAGACATCCCTCAAATTACTAGTTTAAATAATAGCTATTTGGGACTAGATTTTTGAGTCAAATATCTGGGAAGCATCCAGGAAGAAAGTAGGTGCTGTGAGGCCCTTTAAGAGGGGTTGTGCCACTATCACCATATACTATGATAAAAACAATTCCAGAATCCACCCAAGGACCTGTGGGTGAGGAAGACAGACTCTACCTCTGACAAGGGAGTGGAAAAGTGACACATCAGAGAGCATGAGGAGCAGGAGATACTTCTGTGTCATCTTTGGAAAATGCAGTCTATCAAAGATAGATTGAAAGGTTCCTTTGAAGTCACTCCATGCTTTAGTTTCCTGTTACTGTTGTGAACTGCAAACCTTCTCAAAGTATGAATGTTGCTTCTAGCAATGCTCTTTGCTGTTTTCCATTTCACCTACTTTTATTCATGTTTCTATTTCTCACTATTTGTGGCTACTCTACTGTTCTTGTTTTCTGCATTTGAACACTTAAGACCTTTTTCAAGCCTTATGGCTTGTCTTTTCACCTTAGCTCTTAGTTTCTACTTTCCTTGTCTCTCACCAGAGGACACCAGACTTCAGTCTACTGCTTGCTGTTTTAAATTTTTATTATCTTAGTGTCTAAACTCCGAATGTTTCTCTATATTTGATGTGAAAAAATGAAGTAAGAAACTTGGATTAATTCATCAGCTTGAAAGGATCTGCACACTAAAGTCTGCTTTCCAGTTATCTATTTATTTATTTAGTGTGTGTGTGTGTGTGTGTGTGTGTGTTTAGGAATTTAATCTAAGGTATAATGTGTGTCAGGGAAGCACTCTACCAATGAGCTATATCTCCAACCCTAAAATAATGACTTCTAACTTTACATTTTTGGTTCAACATTTACCATTCTCCAGGAAATTTTTTTCTCCATGAACAAAGTGATATTTCCAAATGTCTATATAGATGGTAAACTTATTTATTTATCCTATTTCCTTGGGAAAAAAAGAATTTAAGTTACAATGATATTCTTGGGGTATAACTCAGTGGCAGAGTATTACCTAGCACATTCAAGGACTGGTTTCGATATTCAGCAGTTTAAAAGAAGTTTATAAATTTGATTTGGTAAGTTTATATATAAACACATTTGTACATGAAACTACACTTTAATGATCATTTGAAAACATTATTTGCTTTTATTTCTTGAAGCAGATTACATCAATTATTTCCATCTATTAGGTAAAAGCCAGGGAGCCCAGGGTATGTATATTCCAAACTGAATGCTGTAAGGGCAGCAGGTGGTACAGTTACCTGTACAAAGTGCTGTATATGGCCCTAGATTTTTAAGTCTAGACACTGTCTAAAAAGTATTGGCATCTATGGCCTAACTTGCAGAATAACCTTCTCTCCTTTTAGGAAGAGCCCAGCATAAGTGTGTGTGATTAAACTACTACTATCTTTATTGTGAACAGAATTATACAGTATATTTTCTCTAACTAGGGTCACTGCCCCTATACATATCTAATGGCTAAATGTGTAACTTAATGGATTTTGTTTTACTCTTTTAACACTTGAAGTACCACTTACACACACAAATATAAAATTTCAATCAAAAGCATTTTGGTTCCACCTGGTGCTTTCAATAAATAATTATACCTTACATTAGAAGAAAGATGAACAATAGCCTGGTGTTGGTAGTGCGTGCCTTTAGTCCCAGCACTTGGGAGGCAGAGACAGGCAGATCTCTGTAAGTTTCAGGCCAGCCTGGTCTACAGAGTTAGTTCCAGAACAAGCTCCAAAGCAATACAGACAAATACTGTCTCAAAAAACAAAAACAAACAAAATACCTAAAAACAAAAAGAAGAAAGATGAACAATAAATCTATTACCTATTTCCTTCACAGTCCAAGAGGTCTGAAGTTAGAACATGTAGTGATATTCTACATATATAAAAGAATAGAAAGTGGCTGGGTGGTAGTGGTGCATGCCTTTAATCCCAGCAATTGGGAGGCAGAGGCAGACAGATCTAAGTGAGTTCGAGGCCAGCCTGGTCTACAGAATGAGTGCCAGGACAGGCTCCAAAGTTACACAGAGAAATCCTGTCTCAAAACAGGGTCAATAATGACAACCACAAAAAAAGCAAAAAAAAAAAAAAAAAACCAAGAACATAGTCCAAGTTACATTGCCTGCTAAAGGTTACTTTGAAACTGGAGCCCTCATCTCAGATTCTGAGTTTTGTTTTGTACTTTAGTCTTCTATCACACACCAAGGAAGTCAAGGCAACAGAAGAGAAAGTTGGATAGACCCAGAACAGAAAAAAAATTAGAAGGGATAAAAAAAGAAAAGTTGGTATGTAAGGAACCTCTCCCAAACACATAGTTCTATATTAAAAACATTTATCTTTATTCAAACATATTGTGATCAAAGAATGTATCTTTTAGATTGTTGCCCCTACAAAAACATCACATCATTACATGGCCCTAAGAAACAAGGTTAATATAACCTTACAATTTTAGTAGCTAAGCAGTATTTCTTTTATTATAAAATATTTAAATTCCCATCTAAATATGAGAATATGAGAGGCTGGAACAGGCCTGATGACCTATCTTTTCTCAATAACTTCAGTAATGTAAATCTTTGGCTTTTGTTTTAGAAAGTGGTAATTCATTATGTGTACAGAAATAGAGAGATGAATGCTTTTATCCATTCCCTACCCTTGAAAATGTAAAAGTAAAAGGTTTTACAAAACCTTGTTAGAATTCATATCTGTAGACACAAATAACAATGTCCCCCCAGTTACTTCATGGTACACCCTTGAAAGAAAATGTTCAACACTGGTGTTAATAGATAGAGACGGAAAGAAAGGACTTGGCCTTACCACCCTGAGTGCATCCCATCTCATCTCATCATGGAAGTTAAGAGGGGTCCAGCCTGGTTAAAATATGGAAGGAAGAAAGGCAGAAAAAGAAGCAAACAGAAATTGCACATCAGGGGAGAAAAATGAAGAGAACAAAAGAGAAATACATTTAATAAGTGCTTTGGAAACATGCTGAAAACCCATCTGTAGAGATGACAAATGGGCAGCTAAGATCTTCATGTGCTCTAGGGGAGATACCATAGAAATGTTTGGTGTAACAGGATATACTACAGTGTTACACAGTATAGTCAAGTTACCCGAGCTCAACAGGAACTATAAATATGGGATCCTGACTATTATCTATACTAAGAACTATGGAAGAGCAATCAAGGACCTGTTTCTAAAACAGTATCTTGCACCCAGTGGCCTTTGACTTTTAACCTACTAATTGTTCTAAAAGATAAATATGTATCCATAGCATCATTTCACTATAAGAGTCCCAAAGGTCCAAAGTATAAATAGTCTTCTCAAAATGTCCCTGGAATAGATTCAAGAGTACACAGAGCAATGTATGTATGTATGTATGTATGTATGTATGTATGTATGTATGTATATGTATATGTATATATATATATATTCATGAGAAATGAGTTTGATGGCTTAACCATTATAAGACTACATTAATAATATCAGAGTTCATTCCTATATTTTTCCAAAGATTTGCTTTTGGAGATTTCTAGTTGGCTAGAGGTAAGGATGGAGTGAAAACTAACATAGATAAGGAGTATTTTCCAAGAAAATTTGGAAAACAAGAGCCTCTGTCACAAACATGGATAATTGCATGAAAAGCAAATGCACAAATTAGACTGCATGTGACTATTTGGAAACAGAAACGATACTCCCAAATAATAAGAAACATTTCTACATTTTCTTTAAGAAAACAAGCTTTGTTACTGTTACTTCAATGTAGTATTTAATTAAAGTTATTCATCTTAGTCATGGTTTCTTATTGATGTGAAGGGACACCATGACTACAGATACTCTTATGAAGGACACCATTTAATTGTGGTGGGTTGTTTGTAGATTCAAAGTTTCAGTCCATTAGCATCATGGCAGGACATGGATGCATTCAGACAGCTATGGTGCTGGCAAGGTAGCTGAGAGTTCTACATCTTGACTCACAGGCAACAGGAAGTGGTCTGTCTCACTGGGCGTGACTTGAGCACATAAGTCATCAAAGCCCGCCTCCACAGTAACACACTTCCTCCAACAAGATGGCATCTACTCCAACAAGGTCATGCATCCTAATAGTGCTATTCTCTTTGGGAGCCATTTTTCTTTCAAATCACCACATCATATAACCGATATAAGTGTTCATATACCACACATTATTGGCAGTTTAGAATCCGAAACAGTATGAATGGATACTGCCAGGAGTGATAAAAAGATGTCGCAAAGAGAGGAGCTGTGAATGGCTTCTACAAATGGCCAGTGTACATCACACTATTTGATGAGCTTAAATACCTTTTGTTTCATAAAAGGTAGTCAATGAATACATATTTGTGACTAATGTCCGAGTGCCTGAATATAATTGGCATCAGTCTAAAGTTACTTTAGAAGAAAGACATGGTAAACTAAAAGTTGATATGCAACATAATAAAGAACCATTCTAAATTAGTGTACACGACTTTAAATACAAGAGCATCATAGTTCTTACATCTTCTCAAGGATGATAAGACAATATTGGATGGATATTTGGGCAGAAAGTGAAGTTTAAACATATCTAAGTTTCCTTCAACTTCCAAGATTTTATGCTATAGATACTTAGAACTTACCCAAATATTTTGGATAAAAATAATCCTAGAAAGAAAATAAAAAGTAGATGTTAGTAAACTCAAATTTCACTACAGAATTAAATATTAAATTTCAAATTTGCTTTTATATGAATATGGGATTGACTTACATGTTGTGTGTTTTCACATTTCTAATTTTCCTACATGAAAATATTTCAAGGATAGCCAATACTGGATCAGTATACATATACATGCTTGCATGTATGTATGTATGTATATATGCACATATATATATATTTAAAACACTACTGAACAATTAAACAACATTTTAAAGCTTTAATTTGAACTGGTTGTACTTAAGATGATAACTATAACAACATATGTTTTCTAATTCTTTAATTTTTCATTGTGATTAAACAGCTATTTAATACACTTTTTTTTTTTACAAGGGTTCTTGAGAGATTCTCTCTCTACCTTGGAACTCACTATGTAGACCAGGTCCACCTCAAACTCACAGCGATTACCTTTCCCTGCCTCTGAGTGCTGGGATTGAAGGTGTGCACCACCACACCCGGCCTTCCTTTGATGTATCTTATGGCCATGATGATTATCTATGATGGAGTCAACAATGAAATAATTTGAAGAGAACTAAAGTGAACACTTACTTTATTGCATCTAATACACCTGCAACACCTTCCTTATAGATTGATGGGCAACAGAATAACAATCACCATATGGAAGAAGGAATGTATTTTATGAAGGGGTAATATTTGCAAACTTCTGACAGTAAACTCAAAATGTACATAAATAGCAAGAATATTTCTTATGGAATCTAAATTCCTGCACAAAAAAACATTCAAAGTTCTTGCTCAGTCAGAGGGGAGCTTGGCTTTTTCCAACTCAAAGTCCTCACTCTTTCCCCCTATCATGTATACACTTGCACAATACGTTTCTTCTCTCTTATGAGAAAGGGGTTTGACACTGACTCATTCAGACAACAGTGTCCTTTGCTGCTGAAGCAAAAGACAAGACAATAAGGAGCAAAAAGTAGGGTTCAAAGATTGGTTATATGCTGGTGACAAGAATATTAGTGACAGTGAAGAGATAAAAGATAGGCTCTAGAGCTACACAAAGAAAGAAACAAACAAACAAAAAGCATTGTAGGCAGACGTTCAGGGAATTTCTTAATTAGTGATTGATGGGGAAGGGCCCAGCCCATTGCAGGTGATAGTACTTTTGTGATGGTGACCCTGGGTTCTACAGGAAAAAAGCCGAGCAAGCCATGAGGAGCAGACCAATAAGCATCACTCCTCTATGTGTCCCCATCAGTTCCTGCCTCCAGATTCCCACCTGGTTTGAGCTCCTACTTTAGCATCCCTCAAAGGTCTGTAATCAGGGTACTAAGCCAAATAAACCCTCTCCTCCTGAGTTGCTTTTTTTGATCATCACATTTTCGACCCAATTCTAGATAGATTAAAATTAGTTGTTGGCATACTGGGGGAAATTTTCTTCTTTGAACCTATCAGAATGCATAGGGATAAAAAAGAGATAAAAAACCAGCCACAGACCTCAAGGAAGCTCAGGCTGGCAATGTTCTGACTGTAAATATATATATCTAAGTGTGGACTTGACAGTTTCCATGAATTCTTACCGTTTCAGGATTATTTTCAAAGACTTCCCTGGCCTCCTCTTTATTGCAGAGTTCTTCAATGCATTCTCTTTCAAGATTGCCCTTTTTAGTTTCTTCAAGCAAGGTATTTGCACGGCGCTTCCTTACCAGAACTTGTGAAGCACGTTCTTTTGACAAAACTGTAGAAAACATAAGCTTACATAAGTCCAAAAAAAAAATCTTCATTTTTTCCCTCTACGTTATACCATCTTATTAAACAATTAAGGCTGAAATAATTTTCTTTGTAATATTACAACTGACAAAATTCATAGGTGTGTAAGTCCCCAGCAGACTCAGTGCATGCCTGTCTATACAGCTAGCTACAGATGTCTTATGTGAGCTATACAAATTATCCAGTTCATGCTTGAGGCCAAACATACTACATGATAGTGGTTTTATTTTTATGTTTTCCCCCCTTAACTGTGGCTACAAAATGAGGTGCCAAAAACACAGTGACACCACTTTTAAAGAAGGAGTAACAAATTCTCTCATTTTCATGGAAAGCTTTTGGAATCTCTATGGAGATAACGAAATAAAGATGTGAGTCCAGCCAGCCACAGGAGAGCTTGACAGGCTAAGTCAATCGACCCTTCATATGGTTGGCAAAGTAAAAACCTAGGGGAAAAATAAAGTTTGCTAAGCGCACACTATAGAAAGCAAAGAAAAAAGAAAACTTGGGTTACACCAAAGTTTTAAAAAGATGAACAACAAAAAGTTATATTACCATGTTCAATCCTAAGTTTGGAGGAAACTACTCTCAGTGTATAGAATAGGAAATTGCAATGAGAGTTTTTAAGTCATTCTTGATAATTAAAAGAGGCAATAAGAAAAGAGTGTATTTGTAAGGTTGTATACAAAATCACTGAATACAAACAATATAAAGAAACTAATGTAAATATTGTTATAAGAACAAAACTTAGAAACACTACAGACACATGAGGATACCTTAAAAATTATTAAGCTATAATACCTGAACTGTGGAATATCATGGACTTTGTAAAAGAAAATACTTAGGTAAATATCTCCATCATAAAAATTAAAATGCAAATTTTAGAATGCTATCCTTCAATTTAAACTTTTATACACACACACATACCAGCCCATATTGCAAATATATAAATATTACATGAGCAAAAATATTGAAAAGAATTTGAAAATATTCTTAAAATGCCAGTAGCAATTATATTTGAAAAAAAAATAAAGAAAAACATGAACTTTTATATAGTAGTATGTTGAATGGACTATAGTTTTTAATAAAAATTATGTTTTGTTTTTCCAAAACTTTTTAAAAGCAGAAATAAAATCCATATATTTTTTACATTTTATGCATAATTAATTATTTTTTTACTACAAAAAGAAGCAATTCTATAAACAGGTTTATTTCATGTCTGTGTCTCATTACCTGTAATAAAACAATAGATAATCAAAAACTTTTCAAGAAAGGAGGTAAAAGGAAAAGGACTGATCAATAAGCAGTCTACACCTGAAACTCAGAAGCCAGACAAGTTAAGGGAAGAGCAGGATACACGTGACCCAGCTGGGAGAGAGTAAAGAAAGAGGGGCACCTCAGAAGCAGATACCCATAGCTAAACACTGAGCAGAACTCCTAGAATCCAGTTGCAGAGAGGGAGGAGTGATGAGCAAAGGCTGGAGAAACCCACAGAAACAGCTGACCTGAACAAGGGGAAGCTCATGGACCCCAGACTGATAGCTGGGAACCCAGCATAGGTCCGACCCAGATTCCCTGAATGGGGGTGTCAGTTAGTAGGAGGATTGGGCAGTTTGTGGGGTCTCTGGTAATGGATCATTATTTATCCCTAGTATACAAATGGACTTTGGGAGCCCATTCCACATAGAGGGATATTCCCTCAACCTAGACACATGGAGGAGGGCCTAGGCCCTGCTTCAAATGATATGACAGACTTTGAGAACTCCCCATGGAAGGCCTCACCCTTCCTGGGGAGCATAAAGGGCATGGGATGGGGGTTGGTTGGCGGGATCCTGGGAGGACAGAGAGGGTTAAGGAACTGGGATTGATATGTAAAACAAGCTTGTTTCTAATTTAAACTTAAAAACATATATAAAAAAAAAAAGAGGGCACCTCTTATGCAAGAGAAAGACAAATACAGAAATAAAATAGTAAGAATATCAGAAAAAGTCAAAATAACTATCTACCTAAAAACTATATTACATAAACTATATAACATAAAAGCTATATTATATTTATATATTTATATATATACAGTTTAAATGAAATTTACTCACGTGGGCTGCCAATGCTTCTTCCAATAACCAAAGACCAACTAACAAAAAACCCAACACCAGGCATGACAAGCTCTACTTTGAATTGCTGGTCAGGGTTTTCCATGAAACTATAATATTACAGGATATTGTTATGACCCTTGGTTGGTCCCCAGAGATAGAAGGTAAGTCCCCATTGCTGAAAACACCTTGCATTTAGACACAGGGCCCAGGGGCTTCTGAACTGGAACAGTCCTACCCAGCTATGATGCCTATGTACCACAACAACAACCACCATAGCAGGATAACCCTGAGAGTGGAATAGTGATACACATAGCCTCAGCAGTAATAAGCAGCTCTTTAACTGGACTTAAGTCTTGTTCAACAAGAAATAAACAAAGCCTGGTACTGGAAACCTAGCCAACTACCCAGTGCTAGCAAAATCATGGATCTTGGAAGAGAACCTATAACCACCACTTTACTAAACCAGCATAGTCCATAACTTCATTCAAATATTTGTCCTTATACCCACAAGATAGTCTTCAGCCGTCATCAAAGAAACTCCTCCTTCTTGTTGAGACACATAGAGACCATTACAGAAAACCATAAATAATCAAAATGCAGACCTGTGGAGCCTAGTCCCAATGGATATACCCACAAAACAACTCCAGCACCTAAGGGTCAGGCAACATTGTGAAACTATGGAAAGATTGTAAGAGACAGAGAATTGGAGAGTTTGCTGTGAGACTGTGTCGCCTAGCAATGTCAGAAGCTACATCCATAAAACCTCTTCAACATGACTACATGAGCATGAGCTGAACAAGGACAACCATAGACATGCCAAAGTGGAAAGGCCACGAGTCTTCAACCTTAAACAAAAACCTACAGTCAAGGAAGGAATGCTGACTGTGATAAAAATTCTCTGCCCCCTCAAAGAACACACCAATTGGTTAACCACTACAAAATGATCAGCATTGAAAACATACATACAAGTAACATTATACAAAGTAAACTGGTTATATAGGGATATACAGTTAATATTTCATTTAAAATGGGCCATAAAATTGAAAGTGAAGTATATGGGAGGTTCTGGAGAGAGGAAACAAGGGTAAATGATGTTATATATTAAGTATGTGCAATAAGTAATGCTGCTTTAGGTCTCTCCTTTTCCAAAAGAGAAATGTAAATGAAATTGCTAAGTAAATGGCTTAGGTTGTATTCATAACTCTTATCTGTCTCCATTTCATTGCCACTCATTAAAAGATAAAGATTCAAACAAGGCATTGTGTGCATAAAGGATAACGATGAACGCGCTACCTGTCACGTGGATCACTGACTGATAAATGGCAGCACTGCCAATAATGGCAGCTGTTTCACTACTTAGAAGAGCGTAATAAATATAGCAAAATAATGTGGAATTCCTGAACTTCAAATAAATAAATAGTTCTGTCTGAGGAAAACAGTAATATTTTCTGAGAACAATGAAAATGTTGGCTCAATAACTGCAACAACAACAAAAAAGAACGAATTTAAATGCATTTAAAAGGCATACTATTCACTGCCCAGCAATTTGTCCATCAAGAATACTAAGCTTGTGAACCAAGCAGCAAGGTAGTTCAGTGGGTAAGAGCATTTTATGCATACATCTGATTTGATTTGACCTGACTGACCACAAAAAAAAATCTACAGAAAGGTAGAAGAAAAGCAACTCCACAGTGCTGTACTCTGGTCTTCACATGTGTGCTGTGCTGTGGTATGCACGCACGCACACACACTCACACACACCATAAACACTCACATATATACACAATCATAATTTTAAAAGAATACTGATCTTGGGCTCAGGGAATGTCCCAGAAGATAGTGGCAGAAAGAATGCAAGGATGTAATCTTGGGGAGAAGGGCTGTAAATGTTGTCTTAGGAGCATGACATAACCATGGATCTACAGCAAGAGAGTTGCCAATGTTGGATCTCGTTCTGTGTGACAATCCAAGGAAACAACTGACAACTTGAGCTGTGTCCACTTGTAAAATATATCACAGCTGGTTAGTCGACTGTAGAGGGGCTTGGGGAATTTCAATAGCACCGCTTGGATGTAATTCTGCCCTTGGTCTTGAAAAAAATCTAGAGTATATGGGTCTCAAAAACTGGAACAAGTGGTGGGGCTCTGCAAAGCTACAGGAAAGCTGGTAAACACTTCCTGATGCAGTCTTTTTTTTGGGGGGGGGCATTCACAGCACTGTAGGTACTGTGATCTCTCAGTGAGGCTGATAAACTCATTTGTTCTCCCAATGAACTTTGGTGGAATCATGCATCAGGTTATCCTTAGGATTTTAAGAGGAGGAAGGATAGACACAGTTTAAGTCTGCTGGAAATAAGGAATTTCTACACATGACTTAGCCCTTAAAAATTCAGCGATAGAAGCATGCAGGGCTCATTGGACCATCATGATCAGGGGAAATTTGGTAGCCATGAGGGATAAGACATAATTGTTTTCAATGCTGAAGCTACTGGTGATGCATGGGTACATAGCTCCTCATCCATGGGCAGTTCTAGTTAAACTCAGTGAGTGATGAAGAGAAGCAAAGAAGTCACGAAAGTAGGATGGAGATATGCTGGGAGAAAGGAGAGAGGATGGTTTTGGAAGTGAGAGGGGGTAAGAGGGTAGGGGGTGAGTATAACCAAAGTGTGTTTGTGTGTGTGTGTGTGTGTGTGTGTGTGTGTGTGTGTGTGTTTGTGTGTGTGTATGGAACTGTGGAAGAATAACTTAATTTAGAAATACTAACTTCAGCTATGAAGCGTTTGATATTAATATTTAAAGAAGAGCATGACTGATGTGTTTTCCCAATGACCTCCAAGCATTTCTATCCAAAACCTACTCAACAGTCAGAAGTGGAT